GTCCCCACAGTGAGGACTCCCTTCTTCTGCCCCATGTCCCCTTGGGTACTGGAGTCTTGGTCATCCCTGCCCTGGCTTATAAGGGTGGCATTTCCATGCTAGGAGAGGTAAGCCAAGGAGACAGGAGGCTGCCGCCTCTGCCCACCACATGCTGGGCTCTGGAACAGGGGCGTCACCCTGAGAGACGCACGCCATCGTCCCCACGTCAGCTCCGGAGCCCAGGCTCGGAGATTCTGCCGAGTCACCGGGGCAGACTGTCAAACAGACTGGTCCTGATCTCTTCCTGAAGGACCGGACTTAGTTTGCAACAGATGGTGGAGAAATTCAAGCCTAAAGTTATTCTCCAACACAGTGGCAGCCGTGGTACAAGGCGATGGGGAGGAATCTGCAGGAGACAGCTGGGGAAAGGGAGGGCTGGGAGGGGCCCACTGAGGTCCGGAAACCCTGGGAGCTGTGGCTCCAAAGGAGCCTGGGTCTGTGGGACAGTTGGTGCCCTGGGGCATTTTGGTAAACAAGGCAATCACCTGGCACTGAACAGCTGGGTGTGGTCAAGGAAAGAGATTAAGACAGCCCGGCCAAAATCGCCACCAGCCCAGGTGACAACAGACACCTGGAACTGCAGGTCCCTTCGGAGTGACATCAAAGGTCTGACACTTCAAGGGACTGGGGGGGGGGCGCTCACAAAAACAAGCCTTCCGGCCACTACACAGACAGGCAAACAACAAGCCTGGGGACCAGGGGGCATGACCAGTGCTCAGAGTCGCTATATTATCTTAAATGTCCAGTTTCTAACCAAAGCGCGTGGCACAAGCCAAGGATCAGGAGTGACTTGTACACTTTTCAGTGTCTGCTCTCTCTGCTGGGAGTGACGAAGGCGCCTGGTGGCCTCAGTGGGGACAGTTTCAGTGACAAGGTAGGTAAAGAAGCAGATAGAGAAAAATGGAGACAGCATGGACGGACTTCCCCTGCCAAGAACTTGGATGGAAAGAAAAGGGAGAAGCTAAGAGGAGGGCCAGCTCCACGGAGGCTACTGCTGGACCTTGTTTTGCTTCTTAGGATGAGCTATCGGGGGCACGTGCACAGGCCGGGGGGAGGGTCTTGTGCGAGGCGACAGGACGGCTGTCCCGCTCGGTGGAAGAGGTGGAGGACACAGTAGGCAGGGAGACTGCTCTCCCTGGAGGAGAGCCTGGGGCCAGGCGGGCGGGGGTGGGTGAATGTGTGGGGAGACCACGCTTGGTGGCTCTGCCACATTTCTGAACGCCTCAGGGCAGAGGCACCGAGTGTCCCTTTGTTCCGGAATATGTCTTTGAAATGTCGGAATAGCAAACAGCCTTGGAAAACGAAAGCAGTGTCCTTCTCCGGAGCAGGTGGCAGATTTTCTCACTGCCCAGGACAACCGGACAAGAGCAGGGTTCCCTCTGCTCAGGGCCGCTCGGTGGTGCCTGCGGTGCCAATAAAACCCTTTGTCTCTGACCTGGGAGTCTTGTGTCTTCTGTCCGCATCCATGAGACGGTTGCTCAGGTGGCCCCGGAGGAGGCTGGTGTGGAGTGCTGCCGAAGGAGTGGTGCCATTCCCTGGACCGGAATCTTGCCAGCCCTGCTCAGCCGGGCCACACGGGGCAGGGTACAGGCAGATACCAGTGGGAATCCAAGGGGGGAGGGTTCACCGGGCAGAAAGCCAGGGACACAAGAGAATCTGGGTAATGAGAGAGAAGCTCAGACCCTGACCCACGGGGCCCTGCTGGGCAGGAAGAAAGCTTAGGGACAGGTCTGACCGACAAGCTGGGAGTCCGTAGAGGGCTGGAGAGACCCTCCGGCCCATGAGGCTGCAGAGCAGGGGTGAGGACTGCAGGTAGGCAGGCAGGAGACTTGGGTCTGAGGTGGACCGGAGCACACCTGAGGTTCGAATCCAGCCAGGCAGGTGGAGGCTGGACTGTGGCAGGGCCCGAGTTTGTAGGTGGGGCATGTGCTGAGATGGAGCAGGCATGGGGTGTGGGGGTTCAGAGACAGGGCCTGATGTTTTATTAACCACTGAGGATGTGGGGGAAGGCGCTGATGGGGATAAGCAACATATACAAGTATTTTGACAACTCATAACCAGGAAGATTGAAACTTAAAACTCAAAACCAGACTTCCGCCAAGATGGAGGTGTAGGTGGAAACACTTCGCATCCTCGCACAACCAAACCTAAAAACAATAAAGTTTTAACAACAATAAATGCAACCAAACCACACAGAAAATCGACACTACAGAGTCCGAAAACAAAGAAATGCTCAGCTAAACCGGTAAGAGGGGCGAAGCCAGCAGTGGAGCGGGTTGGCCAAAAAAGATCCCCGACCCGGGTGGTGCACAGGCAGCTGAAGGCGCGGATCCCAGGCGCGAGCTAGCTGCGGGCAGACACAGGGAAGAGGCACAGCTGGCTGGCTGCAGTCGGTCGAGCATTTGCGTGCAGATAAACCAGTGAAGAGGCGAGCATTGAGACCACGCGGCTCAGGGCGGCGGGCTCGCACATTCCCGCTCAGATAAACAGGCGGAAGTGAGCGGTGGGATGGACTGGGTGAGTGGAGACGACCGCTGTGGCTACCCTCTCTGACCCCGCCCCCCCACATACAGCATCACAAACCAGCGACCTGGGTGGCCCCACCCTGGTAAACAACTAAGGCGCCTCTCCTCATACGTAACAGCCACAAACAGATAAAAACATGGCTCAAGAAGAACTCAGAGCCCCAGAGCCGATAAATCTAAGTGATGAAGAAATAGCCAAACTATCAGATGCACAGTTCAAAACACTGGTGATCAGGATCCTCACAGAACTGGTGGATTTTAGTCACAAATTAGAGGAACATATGAAGGCTAAACTAATTGAAATGAAGGAAAATGCACAGACAACCAATAGTAATGGAAAGGAAACTGGGACTCAAATCAAAGGAGTGGACCAGAAAGAGGAAAAAAATGACCAAACAGAAAAGAATGAAGAAACAAGAATTTTAAAAAAATGAGGAGAGGCTTAGGAACCTCCAGGACATCTTTAAACTCTCCAACATCCGAATTATAGGGGTACCAGAAGGGGAAGAGGAACAGTCACGAGTGGAAACCTTATTTGAACAAATAATAAAGGAGAACTTCCCCAATCTGGCACAGGAAATAGACTTCCAGGAAATCCAGGAAGCTCAGAGAGTCCCAAAGAAGTTGGACCCAAGAAGGAACACACCAAGGCACATCATAATTATATTAGCCAAAATTAAAATGAAGGAGAGAATCCTAGAAGCAGCAAGAGCTAAGGGGACAGTCACCTACAAAGGAGTTCCCATCAGACTGTCAGCTGATCTCTCAGAAGAGACCTAACAGGCAAGAAGGGGTTGGAAAGAAGTATTCCAAGTCATGAAAACCAAAGACCTACAACCAAGATTGCTCTATTCAGCAAAGTTTTCATTTAGAATGGAAGGACAGATAAGTGCTTCTCAGATAAGACCAAATTCAAGGAGTCCATCATCACCAAGCCCTTATTATATGAAATGTTAAAGGGACTTACCTAAGAAAAAGAAGATAAAAAAGATGAACAGTGAAAGGACAGCAAACTCACAGTTATCAATAACCACACCTAAAACAAAAGCAAATTAAGAGGACAGCTAGATCAGGAGTGAACCATAGAAATGAAGATCACGTGGAGGGTTAGCAACAGGGGAGTGGGAGAAGGAGAAGGGGGGAGAAGGTCCAGAAAAGAAGTAGCATAGACAGTAGATAGAAAATAGATAGGGGGGAGGGTAAGAACAGTAGGGGAAATATAGAATCTAAAGAACTTGAGACACGTGTTCATGAACTAAAGGGGGAGAATGGTGGGGGAGGGGCGTGCAGGGTGGAGGGAAATGGAGGGGTGGAAATAGAACAAATGTAATGGCATAATCAATTTTAAAAAATGTTAAAAAAAAAAACCCTCAAAACCACCAACCCTAAGCAGCGTTCACCAGCAGGATAGCAAGGTGAGACGCTTCTTCAAACGATGGGATCTGAGACTGAATAGCCCATCGGTGACCATAGGCATAGGCTCCAGGGAGCTTCCGAGGAAGCCTCCCGTTGGGACAGACAGCAGACGGGCTCCCTCGCCGGGGGAGAGCAGAAAGCTGTTGGAAGGGGACAGGTCCCACTGGCCCCTGGAGTTCCGTTCCTGGCAGTTGGGGGGCACACTTCACAGGCTTTTGAGGCCTGAGTCCAGGACCACTGCCCAGCGGAGAATATACCATCCCACCTCCGCCTCACTACCTGGGAGGGCTCCACCTCAAAAGCACAGGAGCTGGGGCTTCCCGGCCCTTCCTGGCCACACCAGAGCCCCTGCTAGACCTCCCGGGTGGTCTCTCTGCTGCGCAGATCTCCGGGTTGCCCTTGTTTGCGGAGTGAATGCAGGGTGGTGAGGGCCCTGGCCGCCCTGAACGGTGACCAAATGAGTGGGCGCGCAGTCTCAGCGCTCCGACCCCTCCCGTCCCCGCCCCCGCCAACCCCGACGAGCCCGGGGGCTCCTCCATCCTCCCGCCCCCTCAGCTGTGAACCAGTCTCCCATGACACCCAAATTCTGGAAGGGCCCCGAGGCGCCGCACCGACAGGTCTTGGGCCGCCCCACCGGTCTCAGGCGTCTGGGAGGCTTGGGTGGGGCCTCGGAGGACCCACTGCTCGGCCTTCGAGGGAGGTGGCGGCGGCGCCCCGCAGCCCTCACGGCCCCGGACTGCACGCGCCTTTCCTGGACTTGATGGGAAAGAGCCCGGCTCAGCCCCAAGCTCGAGGCGTCCCGGGGCTGCACGCCCGCGGGAGCTGCATGGAGGGTGCGGCCGTGCAAGTGCCCCGGTGCGGATGGCAGCGCCCGAGGGGCGCAGGCAGCTCCGGGGCTGCAGGCGACACTCCCGTGCCCAGTGCACCCGGTGGTGCTGCGGCTTCCGCTGCCCGGCTAGAGCCGGGCGGGGAGACGCCAGAGGGGGCGGTGTGTGGGGAGGGCAGGGCCGGGCTGGGCGGGCCGGACTGGGCAGAGCAGCCGCTTCCAGGAGGCCGGCCCGCTCCCCAGGGCCTGTCCCCTCCGCCCCGGGACTGTGGGAGACCGGGCGCCCGCCGGCCGGGCTGCATGGGGCTCCCACGCGACCCGCTCTTCTGGCTGCTGCTCCTGCTCGTGGCCTCCTGCTCGGGGATCCTCTTCTCCCTGTTCTCCTCGGTGGGGAAGCCGCACCCGGGGCCCGGGGCCGGAGCCAGGTAGGGGCTGCCTCGCGGGACCTGGTCAGGAGCGCCCCGGGGATGGGCAGGGCGCCCAGCCCAGGGCCCTCGGGCTGCCTTTGGTGCGGGCCTCTTTGGGGAGACTCCCAGCGGGGGCTCCGGCTGCGGCCCTCTGCCCTTAGAACCTCCACTCCGGCGCCGAACTTGCGCTGCCCGGGACGCTACAGCCCCGTCCGGGCCGGCCGGGGAGGGACCTTGCCCCGTGCGCGCGGGCGAGCCGCTGCAGACAGCCTGGTGGGTTCATTCCATCCAGCGCTGATCAGAAGCGCCTCGTCTAGTCCGGACTTGGCCGGCTCCTCCGAGTCCGATCAAAACAGTCCTGTTTTTGTCGGGAACTCTCCCTGGGTAACGGCACCTTTTCATACTCTACTTTTGGGGCAGGGACCCAAGTCTCCCAGTTCCAACTTTGCCGGGATCCCCAGCTCGGCTGTGACAGGCTGCCGTTCCCCACTCGCTCGCGTCCCGCCCTGCCCTCCCGCGCTCGGCTGCCTCTCCCCGGAGCCGTTTGCTCTGTTTATATGATAAGCACCATCTGGGCGCCATCCGACCAAGAGGCGGCCGCCCTGGGAACAGGGGCCGACGCCGGGCTCCGAACAAGTGTTCCTCGCGCCGCTGTGCGCACCTTCCCTTCCTGCGTGCCCCCCACGAGGAGGAGAAACCCGACAGCCGGCCTTTGGTCCGTGGTGGTTCCCGTTACTGAAGAAGCCTTCCGAGGATTGAGCTTTACTTGGGGAAGGACGGAGCCGGGCCCACAGTCTGGGTCTGGGAGGCCGCAAGGGCGCCCATAGTGCTGCAGAGAGGCCTCTGGGCCCTCTGGTTCCCACTGGCCCCTTCCTCCTTAAACCTTGCTACAGGTAAAAGGGAACAAGAGCAAAACGAGTGTCTGCTCTCAGGGAACCAGGTTAAAGAGCACCCCAAATTGCAAAACAATGTAAGCTTGCAGCCGAGCGAGTCCCGTCCCTTTAGAATGAGGGGTACTCTATCCAGCCGGTGATAGCCTGAAGTTATGGAATCCCCTTGTACCTGGAAATTGCCTAAGGAGCAGGGCTGGAAAGAGATGAGGGGAGTAAGAAAGGGGATTCTTGTCGATTTTATGTAAAGATGTATTAAAACACAGTTCAATGTCCTTTGAAAGTGTCAGATGCAACTTTAAATACGTGGTTTGTTGAACATCCATTATACCTTAACGAAGTTTTTCTAGAACTTTTATTTTTTTTTAATCTAGTAGTCCCAAGAACCTGTCCGTTTCCTTGGTGTTGTCCTGACTTTTGTGCTATAGCTAAATCCCAGGAAGCAGGTCAGGACTTGGCCTGCTGGGGGTGGGGAGCAAGGGGGGAGGGCGGCGTTCTGGGAAGGGAGAGTAGGTTGTGGGGCCTCCCCAACCTGGGACTGGAAATGGGCTTGCCCAGCCACCTGGAGAGGCCAGGGGGACAAGAACACTGCGGCCAGGCCTCCGGCCCAACACCCGGGTCTCTAATCCCAGACTTTTCCTCACAGAAGAATCTGGATCATAGTTCCAGGCAAGGAGATTTCTAGACTTATAAACAACAAAAAAAAAGTGTTGTTTTTTTTCTAATAGAAGGGTGAAGATAGATACAGGGTGCCAGTAACTATCTACTGTCAACATTATTTTGTAAAAGAAAGGATATTTTAGAGCCAAGATTCCTAAGAATTTGATCTAAGTTGAGTAAATTTCTATTTCTGAAAAATGTACTGCATTGTTCTTCCTTATTTGCCCGGGGCTGGGGAGACTCCGCATTAGGTGGGCTGGCTCTCCCCTCACTCCTTCCGCCTCTCCAGATGTGAGTCTGGAGGCTGCGGGAGGAGTCCCTGAGGACTGAGGATACCCTGTAGGGGAGCTGGCCTCCCTGAACCGGGGGCGGGGGCGGAGTCCAGGGTGACAAACCTGAATGGGGGGGCCCCATCACCGCCCCTGTCACTCTGTCCCTCCTGTCTCTATCCGGCCCTGCTGAGCAGTTCTGGTCAGGTTCCTGTTTGGCCGCAGGTTGGCATCACCTGGGGAGAGACCCAGACCAATCAGATCAGAATCCCCCGGGGTGGGGCCCGGGCCTGGGTGTTTTCCAAAAGCTCACGGGGCGGGGGGGGGTTCTAGACTGTGTGACGTTTCTGGGTCTCTCCTCAGAGGGGCTCTGGTGTACTCAAGGACAGGGTCTGCAGGATTTTGTGGGTGGACATTGGCCAGTCTGCAGGGAAGGGGTCACCCCAGCTCTCTCTGCTCTGCCCCTCCAGGGTCGGATAGAAACCTGAAGGGACTCGTGACTCAGCTCCGAGAAGCAAACAAAGGCCTTTGTTTCCCTTGCAAAGTGCCCTTCCCTAACCTCCCCACCTTCTCCCTTGTGGCTGCTGGGGACAGAACTGCAGTCTGGGAGAAACCTGACACCGTTGGGAGCCGGCAGGGGCCCCGTTCTTCCTTTTACGTTTCCCTGTGCCCGGTGGGTGGGGGCGTGCACCTGGGAGGTAGGGGTGGGGTAGTAACATTAGCCCCTTACCTCCCAGCAGAAGGGACACTGTCCAGGAGGCTGTCACCAAGAAGTCCTTGCCTTCTTTAGGGAGCCGTGGTGAACATTTATTTAGTCAGAGGGCGCTTTTTATAGGAAATCACACAGATCCTCCGAATCTCGCCACAACTGGATGGCACGTAATGTGATTTTCCCTGCTGTCAAAGACGTGGGGACTCGGGTTCTGAGAAGTCCGGTGGCTTCCTGAGGTCACGGGGTCCAAACGCAGGGAGTCAGGCCTCAGACTCCGGCCCCTTCCCAGGGCCCTCAGGGCAGCAGCCAGCACCCGGGCCGGTCCAGGGCGAAGGGGCCCAAGTCATCCGGGCCGGCCACAAAGCCTGCTCTGTGGCCTCGGCAGGGAAGCCCCTTCTATAGTCAGGAGGGGCTGGCAAGCTTCCCTATTTTATATTTTCATCTTTTAACCACTGTTCCTATAAACTCCACATTTCTGCCGCTTGCCAAGGGGTCTCTTGATTTCTGGGTTTATACAGCTTGTCAGAACATAATTGTGTGGCAGTGTTTTGTGCGCCAGAGAGAGAGAGAGAGAGATGGGCGAGAATCAGAGGCTAGAAAACGGTGGATCAAAGGAGCGGCCACTCTGTCCTCTCCCCAGCTACCGTGGGCAGAAGCTGACCCCTGCAGGGTGGTCCAACCCCTGCCTCACCTGTGCCTTTTCCCCCAGGAGCTCCACAGCACCTCAGGCGTTCTCTGGACCCAAGGCCGCGATTTCGGGGACAAGAAAGGTACGGTGGTTGGCTACTCAGTGCTTGGCTACTCGGTGCTTGGCTACTTGGTGCTTTGGAGCACCCTCAAGTTAGCAGGGAGGAGGGGAAAGAGACAAGCAAACACAGAACGTTCTCATGAGGTTGCTGGGCTCTCTGGAAGCCCCCCCCCCGCCCCCCAGAATGAAGCAAACAGCGGAGCAGCCACAGGGCTCGCTGCACCCCAGATGAGGAGGCAAGTATCAGTAGGGTCCCTGAGGTATAGCCAGATGAACATTTCTTGGAGGACCTGTGATTTATATATCTATCTATATTTTTTTAGATTTTATTTTTGGAAGGGAGGGAGAGAGACATCAATGTGTGGTTGCCTCTCATGCGCCCCCTACTGGGGACCTGGCCTGCAACCCAGGTGTGCGCCCTGACTGGGAATCAAACCAGCAACCCTTTGGTTCACAGTCTGGTGCTCAATCCACTGAGCCGCACCAGCCATGGCCCTTTAAAAAGGCCTGTGAAGTTGACATTGTACTCCTCCAGATGGTGTTTTACTATGAAAGTCCCATGGAAGCTGCTCGCCATAGAGTAAACACTAAACCCTGGGAAGACGACCCAGGTTTGCCCTGAGGGTTTAGGAACCTTCCAGGCCCTGCCGCATAACTAGCAGTGGGTGGGGACTGTGGGCTGCCAAAGCGCAGAGGGGCCGGGTACCAAGCTCGAGGTCACTCAGGGGAGAGAGGCCGTCCTGGGATTCGAGCCCCTGGTCTGACCCCAGTGGCGGAGGAGAGGCTGCTGGCGTCGCACACACGCTCGCCCAGGTCATGTTCATGTGCCTTGGGTCCTTCCCCCCGGCGCTGCTTGATGCCTCATAACAGACAACCCCACTGGTCTAGAAGGAGGATTTGAGGCCGCTTTTGGATACATATCACAAGGCAAAAACGTAAAATAGAATAAAATAAACAGCTGAAGGAAAATGTCAGACAAGCACATGAAACTGTGCCACGAGGCATTAGACAGGCCACGTCTTCCTGGTGCTTCCTGGTGGCCACAGTGAAAAGCAGGAAACTTCACCACCAGGCCCGTGAGATAAAAGCCAGCCACATGCCCAAGGGAAGCAGCCCTTCCGGATGGGGAGACCTGGAGATTCTTCCCCTGGCGCCTCACAGAGAAGGCCCTGGAAAATGTCGTGATGATACCCTGAGTGTCGGTGAAACTACGATGGCCTGTCCTGCTCCAGCGCTTGCTTTGAAGGCACGAATTTTCCAAGTTCCAACCGTTTTCAGAGTTGCAATATCAGTCCCTCAAGGCTGATCTTAGGAAACAGTCTGAGCACCACACAAATTTTGTGTTTGCTTCTGAGCCACTTGTCAGCGGGGACATTGGGTTACATGTGGCCGAAAAACACACCCAGCTGAAGGGAGCTGCGTAGGAAAATGCAAAGTGTGCACACGCACACACACGTGCACACGCACATGCTCCACCTGCTCCCTCGCGTGTTAGAACCCCCTTGCCAGCACTTCCCAGTCACTGCCACGGTGCAGGGCAAGTCTTTTCCAAGGTCTCCTGCCATGCTTAGGAGCACTTGTGCAGCGAGCCACTGAATGTGCGAAGCTGTGCTCCCATCCTCCGTGGGCTCCCCTGCATTTGCCGTGTCACTGCGAAAGTTTTGGAGCGTCGTGCCCTGTGGCTTTGATTGCACAGTTCTGCTGTTCTGTCACATGATAGCAGATGTGACCACACACAGCTCTTTCCTGCGTTATCCAACCCGCCCCTTCACAAAGAGCCCCTGGCAGTGATAAGGGGGGCCCCGCCGGCCGAGGCTGGCAGGGGATCTGCCTAGGGATCTGCAGGGGGCAGGGCTGGGGCCTGTTCTGCACGCCCCGCCCTTCAAGGTCCCAGCTCCCGGAGGCTCAGTATGTGGTTTCCTAGGGCTACTGGAACAAATCACCAAAACTGGGGGGTTTAAAACAAGGGGCGTTTGTTCTCGCGCAGTTCCAGAGGCCAGAGGTCTGAGATCAAGGCGCCGGCAGGGTGGCCTGGGGGACTTTCCTCGGCTCTGCCACCCTCCGGTGCTGCAGGCGGTCCTTGGCTCGAGGCTGAGCACTGGCCCCTGCCTCTGCCATCATTCGACCTCCTCAGAAGGACACTGAACTTAGGGCCAACCTGATGCAGTTTGCCCTCATCTTAACCACTTACATCTGCAAGGCCCTTCCAAGGTCACGTTTCAAGGTGCTGGGCAGAGAGGAATTTCAGGAAGACACTACTGAACCCAGTCTGGGTACCGCCTGGAAGAAAGATGGTCACTCTCTCCTGGCAGCCCTGTCCCCACAAACCCCACAGCCAGGACTCCCGAGCTAGCAGTCGGATGCAGATCCACCGATTCCAGGGCCCAGGCTGGCCTCACCCACCCGTGGGAAAATGCCCCCAAGCTTCCCCGAGAGTGAGGTGCAGGAGTAGGGGGCTCAGGCTGCAGAGGCGTGGTGTCCAGGGGAAGGCCCAGGCAGGGTAAACCCAGAAAACCCTCTGCTCCTCAACTCTGGAGGGAGGAGGGCAGCTCTTCCCCCCAGCCCTACTGCAAGGCCAAGCAGCCCCCCCCCCCCGCCCCGCCACCGAGGCTCAGCCCTTCTCCTCCGCTCACCCACAGGGCCGGCCGTGCGGACACCCTCTGGCTCTGGCCGCCCAGCGGCACCCACACTTCCGGAGACTGTTTGACTTCTCCAAGCCGGTGCTGCTCTCCGGGGGCCTCTACACCCAGGAGCTGTGGGACAGCCTGAGCCAGCGCAAAGCCCCCTATGGCTGGCAGGGGCTCTCCCGCCAAGGTAACCCACAGCCATGGCCCCTCGGCCAGCCCTCTGGCCTCAGCCCGTCCCTTCCTCACAGCGATGTGGGACCCCCATGTCCCCTTCCTCCCAGAAAGGCCCCCAAGCTGTGTGGCTCCTGCATTACTTTCTTTCCCCACAGCAAGCACCACAGGGTCAGCAAGAGGGCTTGGCTGCCCCCCTCCCCCAGAGCTCTCACCCTCCTGGGGCCTCCCTGGCATCAAAGACTAAGGTGCCAGTGTCCAAAGCTGGCCGAAGACAGTGGCTGCAGCGCCCCAAGCTGCCCCCTAAACTTTGTTGTTGTGGGAACCACCCCGGCCCCCTCCCCGTTAATTTATTCCTTCCCCCACACGGCTCTGGTTCTTTCCTTTTGGAATGGTCTCCAGGGGGCCAGTTATTCAGGTCCTTGAGTCCCTGCAGGCACAGCCAAACCCGGTCCCCTTTTCCGTTCTCATGGCCCCACTGACACTGTATTCCCTTCCCACCCTCTGTGCCTCTTGGGAGGGGCTGGGGTCAAGCCTCAGGCGAGGTGGGCACCGGAAAGTCTTGGGAAGGTCCCTGATGACCCTGACAGCCTCTGCATAACACGCCCACAGACATCGTCTCCACGCTGAGCCTTCTGAACGGCTCCGAGAGCACCCGGCTGTTCGGCTCCGGGCGGCCGCCCCAGGCCTGCATCCGGTGTGCTGTGGTGGGTAACGGAGGCATCCTGAATGGTTCCCGCCAGGGTCTGAACATCGATGCCCACGACTATGTGTTCAGGTACGCGGGGCGGGGCCAGGGAGCAGTGGCAACAGCAGCTGGGCGACAGCATCTTCACCGGCCTGGGTGGCAGCCAGCGGTGGCACCGGGTGGCTCCGCAGTTACAATGGGCTGACCGGCATGGACGGAGGCACATGCAAACATGCATGCCTTGGGGACCTGGGAGGAAGGGACAGCAGGGCCAGATGTGCCCATTTCACAGGCGGCCCCCTGAGGTCTGGAGGAGTGGGTGCTGGTGTGGCTGTGGGCAGAGGGAACGTCCGCAGAGGCGTGGGGCAGGCGTGGGGGGTGGAAGGGTACACACCGCGTGGTGTAGCTGCCCAGAGGCTGACCGGCCTCTGTCCGGACCAGACTCAATGGTGCTGTGATCAAAGGCTTTGAAGAGGATGTGGGCACCAAGACCTCCTTCTACGGTTTCACCGTGAACACAATGAAGAACTCGCTCATCTCCTACAAGAAGCTGGGCTTCACCTCCGTGCCACAAGGACAGGTGAGGCCTCTGATGGGCGCACTGTTCCCAGAGCCCCTCCGTGGGGGAAGCCAAGGGCTCCCAGGCCCTGGTCCAGAGGGTGCAGAGCTGTGCCAGGATCCTGGGCACAGGGGTGGAGCCTCTGAGGAGGGAGGTCTCGGCAGGGATGCCCCACTGTTTCAGGCAGCCCGTACCACTCAGCACCGGAGTGTGAATGGCTAATGTTCACTGGGAGCTTATGGGGTGCCAGGCGATCTCCAGGTGCCACGGCAGCTCCGCGTACAGGGCTCTGCGCCCCGTGCCCAGCAGAGCAGCAGTAGGGCCAGGGTTCACGTTCATGCTCCCACACCAGGGCTGCACACAAAGGAAGGCTTTTGCTGGGGGCTCCAGCATTGCCCCGTTTTCCCAGAGCTGCCCATTTCCAGATGGCAGCGTGTCCAAGGCCACCATCCAGCTAGAATCAATAAAAACTGGGCCCCTCAGGCCGCGGATCTGGCGTTCTTTCCAGTCTCCCACGTAACCCACCAGAACAGTGGCGTGTGCCTCTGACCTCTCCCAGCAGCCTGTGCAGGAAGCCGAGGCCCAGAGGCTGAGTTGCTCGCCTGGAGTCCTCCTTCAGCCACACCCAGTCGCTGCCACAAGCTTCCCCTTAAGGAGGTCTGGGTGCTGCTGCAGGGTCAGGGATATCCCCGGATAAGGGGTTGCAGGATGCTCCCAAGGGCTGGATTTCTAGAAGCTTCCTCCTCTGAAAAGGGGATTAAGGAGTGTCCCACCCAGAGAGTCTGGGCACCCAGGCCTCACAGTGGAACCTGTCTTGTCTCCGGACAGAGCAGACGAAGCGGCTGTATTTCTGGTGCGACCACAGCACCTGTACGAGCTGTGTCTCGAAACACCCCCAAATGTGGTTGCTTTACTATCGTACAGTTTCATTGTGTCAGGAATTGGAAGCAGCTTAGCAGAGTGGTTTTGGCTCGGGGTCTCTCTGATGGCTGCGGTTGCAGGAAGGCCCTTGTCACCTGGCCCCTCTGGGGGCTACCAGAGTGTCCTCAGGCTGTGGCAGCTGACTTTACACAGGGCGATCGATCCCAGAGAGCAAGTGGGTGAAGTCACACCCCGTCACTGTTTTCCTGTTCCTTAGAAAAACTGTTCTTAGTCATTGTCTGCCCTTGCTCAATGGCATGGTGGGTAAGCTTGCCCTCTGGACGGGAAGAACACCAGAGAATTTTCGAGTGGGTCCTGAAGGCCCTGAGAATGGCAGTTGCAGGCCTGGGTGGGAAAGTCTCCCATCGGGATGATGGTGGCACTGGGTGGGGGGCTGTCCCTGCCGAGTAGGAGCCGGATGTGTCTGGTTCCCCCCAGGGCTCAGGGTCTCTGTCGCCCCAGCAGGACCTGCGGTATATCTTCATCCCCTCAGACCTCCGTGACTACCTGATGCTGCGGGCAGCTGTTCTGGGTGAGCCTGTCCAAAAGGGTCCTGACCAAGGGGACAGGTGAGCAGCCAGGCAGGGGCAGAGCACCTCCCCTTGCTCCTGAGACTCCCTGTCAGGTAGGAAAGGTGGGCGAGGGCAGCAAGAAAATCTCCCAGTGCTCAGGAACTGTGGGGGAGGTTGCTCCCTTCCGCCACCTCCAGGAAGCCCAGGGAATCCTCCGCCCCCCATCAGCTCTGCCCTGGGGGGCTGGGCCCCGAAGGGCCGCTTTCCTGAGTGGAGCAGGCATGCCTGGCTCCTCAGCTTCAGGCTGCTGACCCCTGCACCAGCCCAGCCTCCCAGCGGCAGCATTTGCAGGGCCTGTCCCAGCTGGTTCTGCTGTCCTGCTGAGTGGCAGGGCCTTTGTCCATGCCACGCCCCTGGCTGGCCCCCTCCCCAGACCTTGTGCATGAAATGGGAGAGCGGGCGACGTGGGCCCAGCGTCCTGTGCCGTGGGAACAAAGGGCACTCTGTCTTGGCCCCCACCTTCCCGGGCAGCAGGCCTGTGTCCAGGTCTCTTGCACCACGTCCTGGCCCTCAGCCCATCCTCTCCCAGTGGTGCTGAGACAATCTGGTGTCCCTGAGTCAGGTCCTTAGAAATCTCTGCTGCCCCTCGCCACACAATGACCAGCCCTCCTCTCTCACTGCTCCCTGCCAGTCTCTTGGAAAAACAGCCTCTAAGAGGTTCTTGGGGGTTAACCCCTCAAAGGTCAGGCCCGCACCCATAACCCGGCCCTGGGCCCCGCCCCGCCCCCGCCCCGCCTTGTGATCACCCAACAATTGCTCACAATGAGGCAGCTGGTTAAGAGGGTGGGCTTTGTGACATGGGCTGGGGCTGGGCTCTTGAGGGGGCTAGCTCAGAGACATCGGGTGCAGAGAAGCCTGCGGACACCAATGAGCTCCCCTTCCCAGACCCCTAATCCGTCCCCGACCCAGTCCCCCTCCCAGTCCCGAACCAACCACAACGGCAGCCCTGCCAATCAGCAGCCTCAGTCCAACTCGGGTGGCTCCGCCCCTTCCCCACCCCCCAGCCGGGGGGCCACCTCCCGCCCCCCCTCTCACCCTCCCACCCCCACCCCCTCACAGCCCTCCTCCCGGGCTTCCTCTCTGTCCCCCAGCCCTCATGTCCAACACGTGCCTCGAGGGTCTGTCCAGAACCCCACGCCGCCCGCCTCCAAATCTCCCTCCCAATCCGGCTTGAAATCCATCTCTCGAAACTCGTCCCAGTCGCCCGCCACGCCCCTCGCCAAGTCCCCCAACCAGAGCCCCGCCACCTCGGCCTCCTACATCGGGTGCATCCCGGGCATCCCGGCCTACATCACCCCCTATGTGTCCCGCTTCCTGAAGGAGCCCCCCTTCTTCCAGCCCCCCACAGCGCCACTGCCCCTGTACCCGGCCTACGAGCGCGAACGCGAGCGCGCGCGCCCGGCGCCCCCCGAGTCCCTCTACTTCCCCCTCCTGCCGCCCCCGGCCCCCCTCCCGCCGCTCCACTGCACCTACCGGACTCCGCCCGCCCTGCTCTCGCCCCCCTCCTCGCTCACCTACTCGCCGCCCTTGGAGGTGCTGGTGGGCGGCAAGCCGCCCGTGGCGCCCACCGTGCTGCCGGCCACCTTCTACACGCCCTTCTCGCGCTACTACTCGCAGCCGCGCGTCTACCGCCCCGTACCCCGCCGCCGGCCCAGCGGCTTCCCCTTCTCCTCGTACCCCCACGGCCACTACGACAGCCTGAGCCGCTCTGTGCACTTCTTCTCCAAATAGGCCGCAGACCTATTTTGGACCGGAAGCCTCTGCCCGTAAATTCAAGCTACTCCATCCAGACTTCATCAGCTACCTGACCCAGAGGTAGGTGGTCGGGGTTGAGGGGTCCGGGGAAGCACAGCCCCGCGCTTCTCGGTGCTTCAGGTCTTTTCTCCATGCCCACACACTGCTTCTAAGGCCCGACCTGCATGCCAGGCAGGGCACCAGGCCCTTGTTATTGGCCCATTTACTACCTGAGTATTTCCATGGATGTGGCCATGGGTCAGTCCGAGCAACACGCAAGAGACAGGCCCTCCGGAGAGCCGGGGGTTTATTCACCAGGGAGGTTTATGAGGGCCCCAGCTGGCCAGGCTTAGGGGTAGCAGCACGAGGTGCAGGGCAGTAATGGGGCTGGAAGAGACTTGCCCTCATCTTTAGGCCCAAACCCAGCTGGCCTACAGTGTGTGTGTGTGTGGGGGGGGGGGTGCAGGAGGAGAGGGGAGAAAGGGCCCGACCTCATTTCCCTGTCCCTCCGCCCTGGTTCTCCAGGACAGGGCGGAGGGTCCTGAATGGCCTGGCCCTTTCAAATGTCCATAGTGCCAGGTTGGCAGGGAAACCCGGCTGCAGCCCGGAGGCCAGCATCCCAAGAGCAGGTGAGGGGTGCCGGTGCCTCCGGGCAAAGGCAACAGAGGAAGATGCAGACTGAGGCCAGGTTTGCCCAAGAAACTTGGACTCGAATCCAGGACTGAGGCCAGGGCCCATGGTCACCACACTGTGGCCTCACTTCTGGACTCCCTGTGCACACACACCCAGGCACCCCCTCCCCCAGGGCTCCAGCCACGGGGCCTGTGTGCCCTGTCTCTCATGTGCGGTTCCTGTTTGGCTAAGTCTGCAGACAGAGAGAAACTTGGGTCTCAGTGCCGTGTGCCCTGTGGTGGCTGCAGCAGAGTCAGGCCACACTCAGGCTTCTAGAAAAGGAGAGAACGCAGGATCCTACCTACCCGGGGTTCTCCTGGACGGCTCTCACCTGAAGGCTGTTTGATTTCAGAGCTCATTTGCTTGTTTCCCCCAAGTTAAGGATTTGATTGGGGTTCAAGGGCCAGAGATTTTCCAACCTTTTCGAACCGGTCGCTGTCAAGTGTTAACGGCTCGATCATTGAGCTAGTGTGTGAGACATTGAACTAGTATTCGAGGCCTCAATGTCTGCAGTGATGCCTTTTTGCTTCCAGGTTTTTGAAATCTAAGCTGATGAACACACGTTTCGGAGACCTATACATGCCTAGTACTGGGGCCCTCATGCTGTTGACAGCTTTACACACCTGTGACCAGGTAAGAGGTCTTCTCTCGCAGGGTCCACAAGCACAGAGGACAGGTGTGAATGGAATCTGACCTGATTCCTGAGATCCCTACGAGCCCCTCACCCCCAGACCTGCCTGGGCCTCCGTCCTGTGGGGAAAGGATCCCTCGGCTGCCGGAGGGACCACCACACCCAATATCCAGGGTCCTTTATAGGACAGCCCCCGGGCCAGCCTTTCCTCCCGGTACCACCTGCCCCAACACCTCCTTCCTTCACTCCCTCGTCCCCAGGAAGGCCGCTCTGTGAAATTTGAGGCTCACATTGTCAAATGGCTCTTCCGAAAGCAAGACCTTCTCAACGGAACTGGGCAGGGACGGCCTTTTGTGAGGACATTCTAGAAGTGGGGTGGGACAGCAGGCTTAGCCTTCCGCACACAATCCCCAGGCGCCATAAGCGACAGTTGCGATGGGAAGCTGCCCATGTGTGCCACGGGCAAGGTCGAGAAGCAGTTTTACAAAAGGCAGTGACCCGCTCTGGAACCAGCCACTCCACAGGCTGGCTCTGCACCTTCTCCCCTCTTTTAAAGCGGGAGACTCAGTCTGCAGCCACCAGCAGTGCGCGCGGGGAACTGGTAGTACTGGGATTCCGCCGCCGCCTTGAGCTTCATGGTGATTGTGTCTTTAGAGTCCCTGGTGTGGGTTTAAAACTCAGCCTGCCACTCACAGGGCACATTTGGTGACCTGAGCCTGTTCCTCCGTCTATAAAGTGGGGATGATAGTTGTAAAGCTGGGTGAGAAAATAAGTGCAAAGAGCACACGGGGCTGGATGTTCATGAGCTACAACTGTTGTGCACCTGCACCTCCACTGGCCAAATGTGGCGGGGGGCAGGGAGCGTGCCTTCCTGAGTTCACGTCACTGTGCGTGACTCTTCCCGCAGAAGCTCAGTGAACGCTGACTCGGTGACCATCTCTCTCCAGGTTAGTGCCTATGGATTCATCACAAGCAACTACTGGAAATTTTCTGACCACTACTTCGAACGAGTCAAAAAGCCACTGATATTCTACGCAAACCACGACCTGTCCCTGGAATCGGCCCTGTGGAGGGACCTGCACGCAGCCAGCATCCTTCGACTGTACCAGCGCTGACCCGGGACCACTGAGCCCTCTGTCCTCGCAGAGCTGGGGGCCAAGTCCCCTTCAAAGAAGCCCAAGTGCCACCTCGTCCTTTCAGCGTGACAGGGTCCCCAGCCCTAGACCCACTGCTTCCCTGCCGATGACTGTCACCGAGGCCTGTTCAATGTGAAACACCCCATCTTGTCCTTGGCTCATCCAAGAAGACTCCCCTCTGGCTCTGAGGCACACACTCCAACCTGGGGCAAGGGAAATGGGCTGCTCCAATGGATCTGTTTAAAACTGAAAACACTCCCAAGATGTGACTGTCACCTCATCAGAAAGGGACACCTCAGAGCCAAGCCTCAAGGCCGGCAGGCAGGGCTGAGCAACTCGAGGAAGTGGAGGCCTCGCTGAGGCCAAACACTGCAGATGAAGGCACACTCCCCGGCCCAGACCCTCCCCCTTGCACGCAGGGCCCCACGCAAACACTGAGGCAACTCAAGGACACGTGTCCATCTCCCCGAGAACCTGGCCGACTTACACCCACCTGTGATGAAGCACCCAAGGCAGAATGTAATTGGAAACTAGGTGATTGCATAAATGATGGACAACCATTTCATTTTTCTCGTGTTGGGGGAGGTGGTACGCCATGCAGGGGCATGGCAGGGAGATTGTTCTGAGAATTCAGGAGTCGTGGGGAAGTTCTGGTGTTTGGCCGGGGCCAAGTTCCCCACTGAGGCTGCCTGCCCCCGGGGGAATTTCCTTAGTGGTACAGTGCCACCCCATCACCACGTGAGGGACCCTTGCCGTCATCAGGTGCAGAACCTCACAGCTGCAACCGTTTGAATTTAACTGACAGGCAGTTTCACTTTAGACACCACGTGGGCTCCTACTGGAAGCCAAGCCGGCACCGTACTGCCCTTGAACCCAGGGAGTCACTATCTTGATGCCAAGTAGCTTTTGCAAATTGGCAGGGGGAGCAGTTGTGTCCACAGGGCTGGCTGGCAGGAGTCTCCCCTGGGCCTCATCCATCCACGCTGCTCATCTCTCTGACCTAGGACCTGGCCCCTGGGACGAGGCTGCTCCCATCAGCAAGTGTCACTGGAGGGATGGGCTCTGTCACTAGCATCAAAACACTGCTGAGAAACTGACACGTGAACAGAACGGACATCTTGGACCTTCATAGTCAGTTACTGGAGGAAGCTGTAGCTTCCTGCTGCCAGGACCCCCTTTTGTCCTCTATACTTGACCACCCCCCTCCAATTCCCATCACTGTGGTTATCAGAACCTGTCAACTCAGTGGTGAACTTAAACAAAAACCCCTAACATCGGACTCTGCCCTGTTTCTTATTGTGAAACTTTATCTAAAGATGTTTACTGAATCACAGTATATTTTCATGTGCGTCTCGATCTGAAATCCACAACGCTAGTCATTTAAAAAATGATTGCGCTTCAAAATGTAAGCCCAAGGCAAGCAGACTTAAATGGGAACGCAGCGAGAATGGAGTCCGAGGCCGAGCACCTGTCCCCACACAGGAGCACAGACTCGCCCACGGCCCTCAACCTGCCGTCACTGCAGCCCGCGGTGCCCGGGTCGGGTCCCCTGGGCTGCCGTGTCCCTCAGGTTCTCAGACCCCAGTTTCACTAGTTGCCCAAGATTTCCCGGGATAAACTCACTACCACCCAATTTAGTTTTCTTTTTATTTTTAAAAATAGTTTTTTTTGAGAGAGGAGAGAGGAAGAGGAGAAAGAAGGAGAGAAATATCAATGTGTGGTTGCCTCTCATGCGTCCCCTACTGGGGACCTGGCCCACAACCCAGGCATGTGACCTGACTGGGAATTGAACCAGCGACCCTTTGGTTTGCAGGCCAGTGCTCAGTCCACGGAGCCACACCAGCCGGGGCTATTTGGCCACTTTTGAAGATGAAGTCCAAAGAACTCTGAAGTGAGTCTCCTTTGAGGGGATCGCTTTAGAGGCACGAACGCTTGGCCCTGAGGCTGTGCTGACCCCTCCCAGCGCCATGGCGGAGCACCTGGAAAAGCAAAAGAGAAACACCTGAAATAACAGCCCATGAAGCACCTCGACACCAAAGGCAAACATAGTGTGTCAGCTAATTCAGAGAAAAGGCAGCCACAGAGGCACTCGTGGTACCCGACGGCACAGCAGCTGCAGTTCAGCGAGTTCCACGTGGGCTGGGGAGGCACCCAGGTGACCAGGAAGCTTGTTTTCCGGGTGGTGCTGGGGGGAGGGAAGATGCGGCCGAGGTTCCTAAGTGGCCAGTAAAGACCAACTGGGAAGTGCGGGGGACGTGTACATGGCTCTGGGTGTAAAACCGCAGATTTCCCCACGGGCCCATGTGCCCCTTCAGTCTGTGGGACTGTGAGCTGCTGGGGCCAGTTTGCAGGCTCATCAACGCTCACCCCAAGTACAGCTTCCTAGGTGACCCAACACACCCCCATCTTAAACAGAAATCTTGGTATTTAAAGATCTTGAATACAAAGAATGCACACACAGCCCCATTTCAGTCAGCGGTCCGCCTACTTCAAGCCTGGCATTTAAACAGGAACAAAAGCCAGATGCGCTCCCTGTCCGGAGCCACTTCACTGGTTTCTTGCCCACGTGCCAGGCAACCCAGCCCTCTGCTGCCCAAGAAGCCCCAGGCCAGTCACGCTGCCGTTCCGCCCAGCCAACCCCAGGAGAGCTCCCGGGGTCAGCAAAGCACCTGGAAACCGAACGGCTGTGCTAGTGCCAGAGGCTGCCCTTCTCCCTGAAGGTCAGCACACGGGAAACCACCCAGAAGCCCTGAGTATTCTCACTCTGCCCAGCCGGCGTCCAGTCCACACTCCCGTCTGTTTCAAAGGGCACACTCATCTTCTGAAATGTGTGACATTCCGCAGCTAAGAGCCTGAGCCAAATCCGGGCCACTTGCCCATTTCTGCCACCTCTTACAGCCTGTACCCTCAGAGGCATTAATCAAGGGGCCGAAGGAGTGACAGGGCAGCCGCACCACTGGTTTTCGGGTTGCAGAGGGACGCGCTAGCCTGGGGCCCCAGTGGGGTGCCCGCAGTTCCCCTTGGAGTCCGTTCAACTGGATCCTGCAGAAAGCCCGAGCTGCTTTTAAGAGTACAGGCTGGTGGGGCTTCTTAGGGACATGCAAAGTAGAAACAGAAAACTTACAAAGGACGGAGAGGGTGTTTCTCTGGCTTCAGGCAACGCAGTTCGGTTCTGTGCCTCACTACAGACATCTAACAAAGAAAACGAAAGCCTATTAAGTCTCCAGAACACCGGTAACCCTCTCAGTCCAGGGCAGGGGTGGGGTGGGGGTGGCAATAAGCCCCCCAAACCTGTGGGGAAAGCCTTGTTACTTACCCAGGAAAGACCCACCAAGGGTTCAGGGTGGCTAACAGTCACTGCTCATTGGTGCGGGTGCAGGGTCCGTTTCAGCTTCAGAAACCAAGGCTGTGTGACTGTCCCTGGCAAGGAGAAATCACGAAAAAAAAATCTACTCAAGATCATACGCAGATATCTCTCAAGTTACTCACTTGCAAATCAAGCCTAAGTTATTTTGTTTAGGAGCAAACGTGGGAAACCGAGTCTCAGACATCCAGATTCCACACCAGGAGGCCTCTCTCTGCCTTCAGACAGGGATAACTTCACATCATCACGGACTCAGCTCCCTCCAACCGCCACCCCCGGCCACGGCCCCAAAGCCACAGCTCCCGCAGACTGCTGGGGGTGTCTCCGTGTTTACAAAACCCTGCTCTGCTTCCCTCGTGAGAACTCTCATTCTATCTTGTCTACTTGATTAGAATGTACTTTCCCTCAAGGGCAAAAACTGATTGTATCTAAGGCAAGATGTACCCAGCGCCCCAGAACTGACACAGGGGCAGTTTCCGCCCTTTTTACAGCAGGGTCTCCCTGGCACCGCATGTCTGCGGCTGACTGTGGGGCATACATTCCAATGTCTCTCCAGCACCGGTGCTGCGTGGATTTCGACTTTCAGCAAGCCTACTGGAGGCCAGTGCGCAAGGGACACCTGATGCCAAGACGCAACGACACACATGGTCACTTCCCTTTCACTGGTCTCTGTGTACAAAATGACCCTGCAGAGCAAGCATACAGCTTCGAGTTTTTCAAGATAGAGGATTATAGATCTGCCCTGAGAGCTACTTAAAAATAGCCAGTACTATAATCTTGCTGCAATAAAAAGCCAAGCTAAAAATATCCGATCACCCTGGCTGTATGGCTCAGTGGATTGGAGCATTGTCTCAAACTGAAAGGTCGAAGGTTCAATTCCTGGTCAGGGCACATAAAAGAGGCAATGAATCAATGTTTCTCTCCTTCTCTCCTCTCTCTCTAAGATCAATGAGCATGCCCTCAGGTGAGTATAAAAACAAAAACTTAAAAAAGAAATAAAATGGCTTTACAAATAAGGCTCTGGTGAGGTTATCTGGGGGCAGAGAGTCCAGATCACCCTTTAGTCTAACAAAGGGTTTCAACCTCCCTTTGGAGGGACCAGTTCTCCTAGCATTTCTGATGTATACTTCTTTCATCAGAGGAGCTGGCTTGTGCATGGTGGGACACTCAGCAGCCCCCACTAGACCCTAGTAATCCCTCTGCCCCCCACTGAGAACTGCTGGTCTAATCTAATCCAGCAATTGTACCAAATACTGTTTGTGAAACTGCTTGGCAAGAAGCCCAGTAAACAGAGCTTCTTGGTGCTTCCCCGGTCTGGGCAGGGACCACATATCTCCGAAGTCTCGAAGACCAAACTTAAAAGAGGTCGCGCCCAGGGCAAGTCTGTGAAGGAGTTAAAATCTTACCATTGACAGAAATGTCATCTGGAGGACATTTTAGGATGACAGTTTTCATGTGACTTGGATTTTCCAAGTTCACAGCCAATGTCCTTAACCTAAAAGAGAAGCGTGCAAAACATACTTTTCATTCTAATAGAAACAATGTTAAGGTATTTACTCTCAGGACTGGGATTTAAAAAGCTGAGCCTCAGCAAGTCAGGACTCTTCACAAAAGATGTCCTTTCAGACAGGGATAACTTGAAATCATCCTCAGCTCAACCTGTAACATTTCTGAATCCCAGGCAACCAAAACTCCTTTTCCAAGATTCCCTTTCACCCTGTAAGCAGGGGTATCCATTTGGGGTTCAAACAGTGACACCTAGTGGCCCCCAGATCACACTGGCAGCCCTTCATTTCCGGATTCTCATTTATGCCACCATTCACAGAATTGAACTCAACTTCAGAAGGAAGTGTCGGCTGCTGTATGTGCCAGGCCTGCACACCATCTTGGCTTTCTCGGTTCTGGTGCCCACCCAGATCCTGCCTCCACCCACCCATTCTTACGCACTTCGGGGCCCCACTCAATACTTTGAAGCTTCAACCTGCAGGTCTGCTTCTATCTCTGCACATGCCAAAGGCAGGCCTGTGGGGAAGGAAAAAATGAGCATGTAAGGTTCGTTGTAAAAACGCGGCTTTCCAGCCTACAGTCCCACTGATTACTATCTGTGGAATTAAATAAAAATTGGCTGAGGCCGTTCCGGAGGTGCTCCAGGAGGAAGTCACATATTGAGACGGTAACAATCTCGAGATGTGAATTCGGAACTGCCACTATCAGCCCGCCTCGGTGGCGGCCCCAGGAGACCCCCGGGGCCGCTGGGGCTGCAAGGTCAGCTCACACGTGGCGGGGAGGCGAAGGAGGTTGTGTAGGTGCGGAGGATCTCTCTCCCCCAGGAGGGACCCTCCGATGCCAAAGGTGGGCTTGAGCTCTCTCCCTTCAACCCTGAAAGCTCGCGCCGTTTGCAAAGCGTTTTCTCACCCGGTAATTTTAGCTAATCCTCCCAACCATCCTGTAAATTAGGTTACCAGTTCATCGTCACCATTTCCCCTCTGTAAAAGAAGAAGCCAATGTGCTAGCACACAGGGGAGACCCCATTTTCCCACCTGCCAAAGGCCTGTAGCTGCTTGCCGCGCTGGACCGGGATAGAACACACCATGGCTCCCAACCACGCGGCCGGTCTGGGAGAAAAGACCAAACCAAGCCAGCGCGCAAGTCTTCCCTGCAGTCTCGCTGGAACTCTCGCGATGTTAAGAAAAGGGTGATGGGAAATGTAGTGTACGGAAGGGTCGCTGGGGGTCGCCGATTCTCGACGAGATTCTGGAACCGGGTAAGGTGGTGGCCACCACGAGGGGCAACAGAGCGCTGGGGCTGGGAGGCCTGCTCAGTGAAGAGCTGCGGCCGCTAGAAAATGAAGGTGGACTGTTGCTTTAGCTACCGAGTGGACGAATTGTCCCTAGCTAAGACCGGGGGGGAAAGGGGAGCGCAGAAAGTTCTAAAGGGCCTCCCGAGCGGGGACCCGTGAGGAAACTGAGGCACGACTCAGTTGCTCTGTGGGTTCCATGTCGGGTGGCGCGGGGTCCTCTGGGGTGGTGGCTTTGATGGAGGGGAGCGAGGTTCCCGGAGAATCCTTGCACTGCCCGCCCAGCCTCTGTTCAGGTCGGGGCTAGTGGCGAGGCCCGGGCGGCAGGGGGCGCCCGAGAGCGGGGAGCCGGGCTGCTCTGAATTCCCCTGAATCCGGGGGCGAGTCTCCCGCCGCAGGCCCCACGGCCGGTGTGTGGCTCTGATGCTGGGAAGGAAAAAAATAATTACTTTATGAAAAAGAACAGAGAGTAATGTAACACCCACGGGTACTTCTGAGTGCTCTTCTTCAGGCAACCACCCTGGCTTCGTTTTGGAAACAATAATAGGGCAAAACAGTTAGAGCCAGGGCCAGAATCTGCACCTTTCTGGAAGTCAGTTTCAGACCGTAAAGCCCCTCGGCATCACCCTCTCCCCAGCCGCTCTTCGGCAGTGCTCCCGGGGTATTTAGTCTGGGTCGGGCTGCACACGCTTGCATGGATCGGGTGCTTATTTCCAAGCCACCACATTTGTTTACATTTGACTCCCTTAATTTGATTGTGAACACTTCAAGGCAGGAGAAGCCTCTTTTAATTATCGCTATTTTTCTTTTTAATTTCCTCCCAGGGCCTACTTGATATTCCGCTGCCTCTGCTCTTGGGGAGTACTCCACAAATAATCATTAACTCACTTAGCAGTCACTTCCGTCTTGTGAAATGGGTCACTAGGTGTGTCTGTCTTACCCTTGAAGGGGTGACTTTTGTTATCATACCGAGTGGGTTCTCTCCCTGCCAACTCACCCCTTTTATTTCAGAGGCAAGGAGGAAATTCTAAGTGTGGAATTTGCCCAAAGCCCTGGCCGACCTGCGGTAGTAGGCAAGGGGCCTGCGCAGGCAAAACGATGATAGCCGATTCCATAGCGCTCACTAGGCACCACTCACCGCGTGAGCACTTAGTGTGTTCGCTGATTCCTCCCCACGGCGCTGTGACCCACGCTGCCACCACCCCCACTTTACAGATGGGGGACTGGAGTCAGGCTGCGAGCTCAGCCTGCAAAGTCTGTGCTTTTACCACGAAGCCATGCTGCACCACAGTTATACGGGGTGCGGCAGAAGTAACGCCTGCTCCGGCCTCGTTGGTAGGGTAATAATATGGGTGTAATAATTTATAGTTTTTGTTTGAACATTTCACCTAAGATGTCGTATGGTGTGCTGGAGGGTGATGTTGTTATGTTACAGAATTCCATGCTTATGATTTTGTAATATAAGATTTTTATGTAATACACTAGGGGCATTGTTTGTGCCAGGCTCTGTATGTAAATTGACCTTCCGTATAAGGGATATTGGTTTGAAGGACATGGAGAGGGAAGGGAAGAAGGCCTTTGTGTGTTTGCTACCCTGGTTAGGGATGAAATTAGAAGTAGCCTTGAAAGTGGGGAGGACGGGCACGTCTCTCTGTGTTCCGAGCCACCTTCTGGCCGGAAGAGTCAGGGCGAAGGGCTGCCGGAGCTGAGGCTGGACGCCTATTGGGCTCTGGGCGTTCCCAAGCAGGGCTGCCTTGGGTCCCAGATTAGTTGCCAGTGTGCAGTGAGGGCTGCCCTTCACAGCTCGAGAAGGGCCACCGGGTAGCTCGGGCCACCCCTGGCAGGGCTCTTAGTGGGAGAGCAGCAGGCTCACAGCCAATGCAGGTAGCACAGGCTGCTGGGCGGTAGCCAAGAGGCCGGAGCAAAGTGCAATGAGAGGCCTTGTGCCAGAGCACCTGTCGGGCACATTGCATAGACGATCCAGGAATAACCAGGGGGCGCCTCGAAGAATGCGCCAGGGTTCCCAACTGAGCAACAAGGGCTCAGAGCCATGAGGCTGTGGTGATGCCACACTCTGCTGCTGCCGTGGCCTAGGACATTGGAGTTTTTACATCTGGTGGAATTGCAACGCAGCTATTTTCAACTGAGTGTAGGTGTGTGGTGGCCATGGGAGGAGCTGCACAGTGATCAGTGACAGCAGCAGGTCACAGGGCAGGAGCCAGTGGGAGGGAGAGCCCGGCCCGCAGGCTGCTGTGCTAGGGCAGTCGGCTTGCCCGGTCCCCTCACTGCCGGGGCTTATGATGCGGCAGCCCAGACCCACAGTGAGAGAAGGCGGAGTCTCCGGCATGTTGTGGTTAATTTCTCAACCCAGAAGGGAATCTTTAATGTTATCAGTAAGAACGTGAAGGAGGGCAGGTATATCCCAAGCAGTGGCTGCTTACATTGGGGACAGTGACATCTGTGTGTCAGGCACTGGGTTGACAGTCCCACAGCTGTTCTCCCCTCCTCACGAGCTGAAGAGGCCGAATGCTTCGGGGAGGCACGCTCCTCCCCAGCCGGAAGGGGTGAACCTCCATTAGCCTGCACCAGACCCAACGATACATCTGTTTCCTTGGCCAGTAATTGTTTTAGGAAAAGGTCTGTGATGCAGGTCTGCCAAGTGTGGGGAAGTGTTCTTAAAAAACAGAACAAAAAACAAAACCCACCCTGGCTGGTGTAGCTCAGTGGATTGAGCTCGGGCCTGGGAACCAAAGGGTTGCTGGTTCGATTCCCAGTCCAGGGCACATGCCATGGGTTGCAGGCCAAGTCCCCAGTGGGGGGCGTGCAAGAGGCAACCACACACTAATGATTCCCTCTCTTTCTCCCTCCCTTACCTTCTCTCTAAAAATAAATAGATAAATAAATTTTAACAAATCTTTTTCACAAACCCCCTCCTCTGGCCTCGGGACATGGTGAAGGTGCAGTGCCGAGACTGCAGCCGCTATCCTGCGCCGTGACGTTTGCTTCAAAGCAGGCGCGAAGGTCTGGACAGCAGAGCGGAAGGAGAGAACCCGAATCCCTGATGATGCTTTGGAACTGCTGAAATAGCCCCGTGCCTTCAGACCTTTCGTTTCAATTCGGAGATGCATATTTTCACATTTCAGCAGCAAATGTGTGTTAAGCGTCTGCTCCCAGCCAGGCACCCCCGAAGCACCTTTTTCTGAAACCTCTTTACTGCCATCTGGTTGGCATACACACAGCTGTACGTGTTCAGCGTATAAACTTGGTGACTCTGAGCACCTTTCACGGGGGGTCTCATTTGACTCTCACAGCCGCCCTGTTACTCCCCCCACCCCCACTTTTGCACCCGAGGGAGCCAGAGTGAACAAGGGGGAAGTAGTGAGTCAAAGCAAGGAGAGCCAGGCTCAGACGGCCCAGCCCCAATACCCACGGCCTTAACTACTAAGCTAGGTGGTCCTAAGAAAACGCACTGTGACACCGGCATGTGTTTTGCTAATGGATTCTTTGAAAACAAGTGGGCTTGAAGACTCTGTCCCATGCTGTCGACTTCTGCTATTGCCTGGACTTCCTTCTCGCAGCTCTTGCATGGCCTCTGCCCGTGTGGTCAGCTCCCTGGGCCTTGAAATCTCCTTCCCCCCACTCCTCTTCTCTGCTTAGCAAATCCCAACTCACGCTTCTGTGCCTCCTCCGAAAAGTCTTAACCTGAGACGCTGTGATGGTCACAGGCTCTTTCCTCCGTGTCCTGTGGCAGGTCAGTCTAGCACGTGCCCTGCAGCCAGGCCTGCCCGGAGTCAAGCCCAACCCTGGTGATGCCGGCCCCGCAAACCCGGGCGAATGACCACCCCTCTCTCTAAGCCTCCCTTTCTCATCGGAACCTCTCAGGACTCAGGGTTGTGCGCGAGCAGTGCCCAGCAGGGGCCTGGCCCGAGGGAAGCACTCGATAAACGGAACTGCTGTTGTTTGAACGCACTTCTGCTGCTCACTCTCCAGGGTGGTTTTCATGCATGGCTTCTCCACCAGACTGTGAGCAAGATGAGGATCAGATCTTCATTCTTATGTTGTTTCTTTTTAAGTCTTTTCTTTTTTCTGATTATAAATGATGACTCTTTAAATTTTTTTTTTATTTTTAGAGAGAGGGGAAGGAAGGAAGAAAGGGAGAAGAATTGGATGTGTGACAGATACAGTTGTCTCTCTCATGCCCCTAACTGGGGACCTGGCCTCCAATCCGGGCATGTGCCCTGACTGGGAATGGAACCGGCGACCCTTTGGTTCACAGGCCAGCATTTAAACCACTGAGCCACACCTGGCGGGGCTCTTTTTAAGTCTTTAAGTCATCTTTATTGAGGTATAATTTACACACAGTAAAGTGCATCCATTTAAAATGTACAGTCCAGACCTGGCTGGTGTAGCTCAGTGGATTGAGCACGGACCTGTGAAGCAAAGGGTCACTGGTTCTCTTCCCAGTCAGGGCATGTGCCTGAGTTGCAGGCCAGGTCCCCAGTAAGGGACACATGAGAGGCAACCACACACTGATGTTTCTCTCCCACTCTTTCTCCTTCCCTTCCCCTCTCTCTAAAAAATAAATAAAATCTTTAAAAAGAAAAGTGAAATGTACAGTCCAGTGGCCCAGTAAATGTGTTCACCCATGTAACCACAACCTGGGTCACAGGTTAGGACATGTCGTCACTTTGGACAGCACCTTGGTACCGTGTTACGTACCGTGATACGTTCCGTGTTGCAGCCAGTCTCCACCTCCAACCCGGCCCCAGGCAACCACAGATCTGTTTTCTGTCACTGTGGATTAGTCCGGCCTGTGCTAGAATTTCACATAAACGGATTCGTACAGTGGGTATTCTGTCCTGCCTGGCTTTTCTCAATTATCCGCGTTATGGCTTACATCAGTAGTTCATTTCCTTTTTATTTCTGACTCTTATTCCATTACACGCACATACCACAGTTTGTTTATCCATTCACTCGTTGCCACATATTTGGGTTGTTTCCACGTGAGAGCTGTGACTAATGAAGCTGCTGCGAACATTTTTGCACAGATCTTTTGGTGAACACGGATTTTCTTTCCTCTGGGTAAGGTCACAGGGAACTGCCAAGCCGGTTTGTTTCCCAAGCACACGCACCGCGGAGCGCTCCCCCAGCAATGCGTCTCACCCGATTCGGCTGCCCTGCCCTCTCGCCAGCACCTGTCACGTTCCTCCTCCCCCTCAGCCGTTCTGGGGGGGCCTGGGGAAGGGCCTGGAGATTCCTGATTTGCAGCTCCCTGGTGACTGACCACGGCAAGCGTCTTGCTGTGTGTTTACTGGCCACATGTACACTTTTTTGTGAACTATTAAAACCCTCCCCCTTTTTACGGGCTAGCTTTTAGACACCAAGTGGTAAAAGTTATTTATATATCCTGGATGCAGGTCTTTCCTCAGATATTTGCTTGACAAGTGTTTTCTCCCAGTCTTTCCAAGAATTTTGATAAAGTCCAATTAATCACTTTTCTTTTATGGTGGTTGCTTTTTGTAGCCTGATGGGAGGACTTTCCTTTGTCCACCGAGTCGCCTTCGTGGCGGCTGTTTCGGGCCCCACCGATCTGTGTGCACCCTTAGGAGCACCCTCTCCTCACCTCGGGGAGCCCTGTGGGCCCTAGGGCGCCCCCCCAGTCCACGAGCCACAGGCAGGAGCTGTCCGAGGCAGCTGCTGAGGCCCTCACGGGCCGCCGTCCTGCGTGCTGCCTGTTGGCAGGTGTCTGTCTCTTGTGCTTTGCCCAGGGTTCTGGTCGTTGGTGGAAGGAAGGCTTAATTCATTTTGCACCCACAGGCGCGGGCACCCAGGCGCTCCACGTGCTGGCTGAGTGAGCAGGTCCCCGGCACCTCCGGACAGTCCACTGAAGTCCCTTTTGATTGGGTGACTCTGTGGGGCCCCCAGAGGCCCGCCCCCTTCGCTTTACCAGGCAGTTCTCTTCCGGGAGGCGGCCGTCACTTCTGTCCGTCCTTGGCACCAGCCCACCTGGGTGGATTCAACACATACTAGTTAGATGGGGAAATGGAGGTGCAGAGAAGGAATGGTCATGGGGCCAGGCAGCGGCTGAGCGGGCAGCACTGGGCTTCCTACGCGGGCATCTTTCTGCTGGACTACGCACAGAGCAGGCACCATCTCTTCCATTGCTGCCGCCCACGCCCCAACGCATGCCCTGCAGCGTACGCTGCGGCTCCAAACATGTGCTTGTTAAGTCAATGACCAGTGGGATAAATAAACTAAATAATTTTCTAATACTTAGGTCAACTGCCTCCCACATATGGTATTAGGCATGTGCATGTGTGTGTTCTCACATAGAGCTGGGACTGACCATTCCTCCCCAGGCTCATACATAGGTCATGGTCCTCAGGAATCTTTAACATTTTTGTCAGCCAACCACTAGTCTTAACCCCCACCAGGGGGCGTGTGTACCCCACAGAGAGGGTCTCCAGTCCCTGGGTGCAAGGCCTCCTTTCCCACATAAGGCGGTGGTCCCTCTGAAGCTGTCCATCCCCAGCCCTGCTTCCCCTGCATCACAACGCCTTTCTCTCAAGCTCCGCCTCCCCTCCCCTCCCCTCCCGGAAGCTGAAGGAGACAGCAGAGTGCCTGGGAGTGATGACCTCATTGCCATCCCTGCATGGCCCTTGCTTCCTCCCTGAGGGGCATGACTGGGGCCTGGAGCGGCAGCTGCCTCTCTCCCCTCACTGGCCAGCAAGGACAGTCCCTCATGGCCCCGAGTCTGGTCTGCCCTCGAATGATGAGCCCTGAAAGGGAGAGCCATGGGAATAACCTTGCCAACCTGCCCGCCCGGCCCACCTGCAACTGTGTCTCCCAGGTGGGGCCCCAGCTCTCTCTCCTAGGCCCTGGGGGGATGGGTCACACCCAACTCTAGACTCAGGTCCTTTGTGTCCCAACAGCTTCAGGAGCTTTGGCATCACACTGCCACGAAGCTAGTGGTCCTGGCCTCACCACTAGCTGTGAGTGACCTTGAACAAACCCCGTGAACTTCACTTTCCTTCCTGGGTAAAGGAGGAATGTAGCATTTCCTGCCCCATAAACAGGACAGTGCCTATAAGTGAAGCCCTGGCACTGTGCCCAGCACCTCGTCAGCGTTCGAGACGTGTCAGCCGTTATTACTAATTGTATCATCCTTCTATTAATGTGAACCACAGTGCAAACCGCTTGGCCATTCTCCTTTTGAGGCTCCCAAGGAAGCATTGCTCTCCCCTAGTGCAGGTCCCGGGCTTCTTCCCAACACTGAGGACCCTGCCGAGGGATGCTGGGAGCCTGCGGGACCAGCGTGGCGCCCTGCTCCCGTGCGCTCGCTCGTGCCTGCCTCAGGTCAGGCACGTGCCCGTCCCATCTGGGCCCAGGGCCACCCTGCCCGCTTTCACACGTCTGGGAAGGGCAGGGACTCCCTGAGGTGGCCTCTGCACCCTGGGCTGACACAGGACAGCAGCTGCTACCACTGCTTCCCTTGTCCCCTACTCTTCCTGCCACCTCCTCGGCTCTCTGGTCACGTTCCAGTCTCTGGGGGAGATTGGCAGCAACCCTGAGTCCCAGGCGCAGAGGTGGCTGAGCGCCGCACCCCCCTGGTCCGGGCTGCTGCCCCCTGCTGCTCCCAGCAGCCTTCTCCCTGTCACTCCCCGGCAGTGAGATTAGCATTCAGAGGAGGATGGGAGCACCAGGGCAGCCGCCTCCTGCCTCCTCTGGGCGCTCAGAGTCGTGCCTGGAAGCGGAGCCGATTGCTGGGGAGGTGTCCAGGCTGAGACCCCCGCTGCAGGTTGGGACGGGGGTCTGGGCTCACAGAGGCAACGTGGTGGTCTCTCATGCTGGGTGCCGGGTCTTCCGAGGTGCCTCCCACCCAGCAGTTGCACCCTTTGCTGTCTTCTAATTTGCTTCAGAACTCCCCCCACCCCCACCCAGCTCTTGGGCCGTGGGGTGCGGGACGAGGGGCTCCAGCTGTTCGACATCACCGATCGCTCAGCAGCTGACAGGGCACAGACAGCCACACCAGCTCACGTGTGCCGAACGCTTCCCGTGCTGCGCACTTCACACGTCTCACCTGATTCAACCCATACCACGCCTCTAGGAGACAGGCCCGGGCGACCCCGCTCCGCCCCAGCTATTTTCCCACGCGCCCTCAATCCCTCCCTCCTGTTTGGGTCCATTTGTCATGCACCTGGGCTTTCCTGTTCCCATTCCCAAGACGTGGCTCTTTCCAAGGAGATGGGAGGAGAGAGGGACGCAGCCCCTTGGGGACCTTGCATATGCCCCCCACCCAGCTCTCCGGGGCAGCCTTCTAGAGGAGTTCAGGGCCCAGGGAGGCCACTCGCGCTGCAGACAGTGCAGACAGGCCAGGGCTGGTGGGCGGCGCAAGAGGCAAGCGTGGGCCGGGTGTGGGGGAAGGTGTAAGCCCACTCCCACGCAGCCGCCTGCACCCTGGAGGAGAGAGCCCCTCCCTCCCAGCCCACGAGGCCTGTGTCAGGGCTGCAGCCTCCCAGCTCGGGCAGGCTCATCCCCCCACCACCCCCAGCCCCTGCCTCTCCTTCCCTCCCTTAATCCTGAATAGATCCCTCAAGGAGCCGCCATCTCCAGAGCAGGTCCTCAGAACACTGCTGCAAAGGGGCGTCACCTTGTGGCCGTGTGTCTGGGCTGGGAGCCAGCCCCGGTGCAGCCAGCTGACCTTGGCCTGACAGTCCCTCCGACCAGTGGAAGGAGACAGGCAACTTGGAAATAGCAGAGAGCAGAGGCCAGGCTGAAGTGACAGGAATGGGGCCAATAGATCAGACTGGATGCGGAGATGGGATCGGGGAGCACAGACAGTCTGGGAACAGTGCCCTCTGGCCCTTCGCCCGACAGCTCATCACCAGAAAGGCTGGGGCCGCCCAGGAGAGAGACAGGCCGACAGGAGCAGAGACAGGTGGCTCAGATTCGGGGCCGCTGTCAGGCGGGCAGGGAGGTTCTGACGTGGCCCCAGCACAGAGCCTGTCCCCTGGTGTGACTCCTCCCTGCCCCCACCTGCCCTACTTCAGTGGGGGGGCTCCCACAGAGCTGCTTGGCTCCCTGCAGGACCAGCAGCCCGCCCCGTGCCTCCAGCGTGGTCTCCTCACTCCCTCCCCTTTCCCTTCCTCCCCTTCAGAGAGGGCAGGCACTGCTGTCTGGTGAACTCCTCCATCTCCTGCTTTCACAAAGTCAAGGGCAGAGGCCAGCAGAGACCTGGCAGCTTGAGGGGGTGGGGGGGGGAGGCGAGGTGCACGCCCATGGTGGGGGGCTTTGGAAGACACATGGCCGCAGGAGACCGTGGGGAGCAGCCGCCTGCAGGGGCTGTGCCGAGACCCCAGCGAGCAGAGGCGGAAATCTGCTTTCATCTCCGCTCGCTCCGGGGGCACAACTGGGAAGAGAGAAATGGCAGAGCAGCTGGGGGCCAAGGAGGCCCCCTCATTCCCGAGCAGTCAGCAGGCTGACAGAAACGAGTGTCACGCCTATTCCCTTCCCACACTGTACTGCCCGTTTGGAACACGCACACACACGCGTGCACACACATGCTCAGAAAACTCTTGGAGGACAGTAGGGGTGGCTCCCAACTAGCTTAGGGCACAGGAGTCACTGGCCCAACCGCATGTCTTATTGCTGGTTCCAGCAGAGCAGCCAGTGACCAGGGGAGCTCTGGGGCCCAGGGGCAGGCCGATGCCACAGGAAGTGAGTACCACCGCAGCCAGCTGACACCACACAGCCCTGGACCACAGCGGTATGGCCCCTGCGCTGCCAGAGAGGCGGCCAGGCTGGGAAACTCCTTTCCGCAGGAAATGGCTGTGAACTTCCAGGTGCCCGCAGGGAGGCCTCTGTGAGAGCCCCCGTCCCCCCACCCATGAGCTAGTCCTCACCGGGCTAGTCGGTTGGCTTCTCTGTGTGTTTCCTCATTTCTAAACTGTGGCCCACAGCGTGAGTGGTCTCTCTGGTGCCGTTAGGGTTCAGTGAGAGCGTCAGCAGGAAGCCCCTCCTTGGTAAACAGGAGTCTCCTCCTGGTTCTTCTCCCCCAGCCTGGGCTGCGGGCTGCAGAGCTCACAGAGTGGACCCTGCTGAGCCCTGCTCCTGGACCTGCCTCAGTGGTCCCCAGGAATCCCAGGGAGGAGCCTGTCCCAGAGCAGTGAGCCTCTCTGCAGCTCCCTCCCCCCCACCAGGCCTGGCCAGGGGCAAACCAGGGCCGGAGCTGACGCGGAAAACCCAACTGGACAGCACTGTGTCCCACACCCGGGCAGGGGCTTGCATTGCCAAGTGCACATGCCAGAGCACCCCTCTCCCTTAGAAGTGCCCCAGCACTGCCCTGTCCCCAAGCCTAGAAAATGCTGTCAAGATCCCGAGTGGCGCTCTTGACACTGACCTTCCCACCTAGTGGCGGACGGACAGGTTCTAGTGGGAGGAGCTGGTGGAAGGAGTCCACCCACCTGCCCTCAGCCTCGGCCGTGGCCACAAGGCTAACTTGGCCTGCTCTGCACCCACATGGCCAGGCCTGTACCCTCTTCCTTCCCCAGCCCCCGCCCGGCACGGCCCAGCCCTCTACGGCCTGTCCCAGCCTACCCACCTCAGCCGGCTGACCCTGGTTCCCGGGGCCGAGCTCCGCCCGAAGAGGCAGGTGCTGTCTCCCTGGACAGAGGTGCAGGGGAGTCAGAGATGGGAGGGAGGGAGATGGGGCTGCTTCTCTGAAACACCGCCGGGGAAGACTCCCTGTGTGTCTCCGTGCTCCTCAGTTCCATTTCCGGGTGAGATCAGTCTCATGACATCTGACATGTGCTCCGGGATGATCGAGTGTGGCACAGTGACCACAGGGCCCTGGCCGCCCACACCGTGGCTCCACGTCACCTCCGAGCACAGGGCATCAGCCCGCCCCAAGGAGGCGGTGCGCCTGGTCTCACCCGGGGCCGGCAGAGGGAGGGCGGAACCCACTAGAGCCTCGTGGGGAGAGTCCAGGTTTGTCCCACCCCACGTTGAGGGGGGGACACCCGAGGAACCCGCTGGGACTGACAACTGAAATTGGAGAGCAGAAAGTTCACCCCTCCCGCCACCCTGGTCCACCCTGCGTGGCAGCCGCCATCAGCAGGAGTAGGAGGGGTTGGATGTCAGAACCATTTTCCAGTTATCTGCATCCCAAAGTCTTCCTTCCGGCCAGGTCGCACGAGGTCAGGCCTGGCCGGAGGGTTCCAGATGGGCCTTTCCCCTCCTAAACGGAGGCCCAGGTCCGTTTCACCAAGAGGAGAGAGACGGCCCGAGGGGAGGGGCCTGTTGGCCCCACCTCAGCCACAGATTGAATGGATGACCTTGAGCAAGTGACTTAGGTGTCCCTGTCTTGTTCCCTTCGCCATTCATCAGATAGAGCCCTTGTCCTGCTGGCCCTCGGCCGCTGCTGTGGAGATCGAAGATGGAGCCCAGAGGGAGGTCCCCACGAGAAACCCCTGCAGGGGGAGGGCAGAGCCCTGGTCAAGTGTGAGGTTCCACAGGGATGGGGGGTGGGGGGTGGGGGGGGTGGCGGAGTTCTCGGAGCAGCATCTCTGTGCCGCAAGCTTCTCCAACAGCCGCTCCATGTCAGCCGCACAGCAGCCTCGCCACCACGGGCCTTGCCGTGGGTTTGCGTAAGAAGGCAGGGATTCCGAGGTTCGCCCAGGCTCTCGGGCAGTGGCGGAGGAGCTGGCGTTCCAACTCCACCCAGTGCCAGACCGGACTCCGCAGCGAGGACCGGTCAGCATTTGCGGGCCCCTGTGTGCGAGGCCCAGCGACGGCCACTTTATACACGGCCGCCCAGTCTGGCCGTGGTGCTGATGAGGCCCTGCCGTGGCCGTCTCCGCTGGCCTCTGTGTCCAGGAGGGTGTCACAGAAATGCTTCTTTTGCCCACATGTGCCTAGCGCTTCGCAGTGGGCCTTCTGACATCGGGACTGGGGGACGGGGCCCAGACATAAAGACCCAAGACCTCTCGGCTTGCCGGGCTCCGCTGCTGCCGAGGGGCACGGGGGGCCCGCAGAGACTGGTGTGCGCAGGGGTGAGTGCCTGCTGACCATCTCGGCTGCCTGAGCCCCGTGGGAAGACACCCTTCTTCCAGGGGCCCAGGGGCCCACGGCACCACGCCCTCTGCTACAATGGGAGGGAGAAAAGCAGTGCCCGGGGTCAGTAGACGCCCCTGTAGGAGAGAATGTCCCTCTTCCCGCAGGCCCCCCTCACCAGGCGGGTCCACAGGTGCAAAGGAACCTTCCAAACAGCATGTTCTGAACTGACATCTGTTGATTTTTCTGTGTTTTGATGGACTTGGGAGCGCCTCGCATCAAAGGACACTGGTCACCCAGGGAAGGGAATGTCCGGAAGTGCCCTGAACTTCACCCCCTGCCAGGGCCACATGGCCTCTGCCTAGGGAAGAGTTAACTGTCTGGCCACTGGAGACAGTGGCCTGCCCGAGGGGGCTGCCCAGCCAATGACACCCAGTGCCGATGACGTCATGCTCCTCCTGCGCCTTCTATTGGGAACTGGACAGCGAATCCTGCTGGAGGCTCAGGCAGCGGAGCCACTGAAGCCGGGGGCGGGGGCAGCGGGAGAGGGAGGGGAAGGGAAGGCAGGCAAAGGCGGCAGAGCTGCTTCTGCCTCACCCCCTTTCCAATCCCCCTGAGCCTGCTGCAGAAGGGACCCTGGGAGCCAGCCCCTTGGACAAGCAACAGCAAGCAGCTCTGGTCCAGGGGGAGAGGCTGGGGACTCCCGCTCCTGATTGGACCACACAGACACTGAGCCTGCCCACCAGGCGTACAGGGGGGGCCAGGGGCCATCAGACAGGGCAGGCGTGCGCACATCCGTGTACGTCCCCCAGTGTGGGCAGGCACAGGGGACAGCGGCAGCCACCTTGGCAGCACCCTCCTTCACCCAGACTCGCCTCTGCCTTACCTGCCGGGGGACTGGGGGTCTGTGTCCACGCTGCTGCCCGCAACTGCCCCATCGCTGGGCTCTCTGTGGGAGGGAAGAACAGCCAGGAAGTGCTGTGGGCCAGACCCCAGACCCCAGACCCTTCTCCTGCTTCTCCCAGGCCCAGCCTCATCCGGCTGCAGGACTAGAGGTGGCAGCTAATGCCTTCGAAGAGCTGCAGGCGCCCTGCCCTGGGGGGAGTCCTGGCAACCCCTTCCAGCCTCCCTGGAGACCCAGGCAGCCCCTGCCGCCTGCAGCTCAGCCATGCAGTTTCCCCCCACCCCGCCGGTGGCCCAGTCGGTTTCTCACGGTTGGACCCGGTTGCCGAATCGCCGGCGCCAGAGCACAGCCAAGGTGCTGAGCAGGAAGAGGGTGGTACACATGGCTCAGCCGCCCCATCCCCTCCCGGTCAGGTCTGCGGAGGAGGCCAAGATGGCCCCTGACAGCCCTCCCGAGCCACTGCCGTGCGTCCCAAGGTTCCTGCCGGTGACGGATTAGAAGCCTCAAGCTGATTACTGGGATCAGCAGACCTGACCTTGTGCAGACCGACTAACCTCCCTGGCCCCAGGTTGTCCCCCCAGGGCAGGGTCAGCTGACCTCAGTCTCTTCTGGATGTAGACAGATCGAGACCTGGGCCTGGCCCTGCAGAGGCATGTAGTCCAGACAAAGGCACTGGCAGGTTACACAGTGGCCACAGCAGAGTGACACGGGCGATTAAAGGCACCTACAGGGTGCTTCGGGAGTTGTAAGCATGAGGGAAAGCTTCGAAGAGGAGCTGGGGACCTGTGAGTTTGCAGGGGTTCGAGGAAGGGTGGGCCCACAGAAGACAGGGCCACCTTCTGTGAAGGCTGCGGAAGCACAGGGTACACACGTCCTAGCACCTGGACGCGTCCCCAGGGCGGGGACGTCCCAGGGGAGGCAGTGAGGGGACGGGGAGAGAGGAGGAGCAGCAGATGATGAAGCTGGAAGCACAAGGAGGGAAGGGCTGGCCCAGCGGTTCTGTTCCACCCTCCGGGCTGTCGCCTGGAGCCCCTCTGGCTGTCCCCGCCGCAGCAGGAGGCAGAGCTGAAGGGAGCGCGGGGGAAACAGATCTACCCGTCCCCTTAAAAATGCTGTCCTCTGCCACTAGACAGTCCTCCCCGGTGGGCACACGGAAAACTTGTAAAGGATGAGATGGAAATAAACCCAAACAAGGTTTCTTCTACTTTCTTTCCACATCCCCGTGAAAGGGCTTGAGCCGCCGCTGGAAGCGCCACCACGCTGGCTCTGGGAGGTGGTCAGAGGGGTCCAGTGAGGTGGCCCAGTGAGGCAGGCTCTGTCTCGGCCGAGGCAGGTGGGAGGCAGGAGGCAAGGCAGCGGGGACCAAAGTGAGGACGTGGGTCTCAAAGGGATTTAAGAAACTGAAATCGCCTCTCTCCTCCAGCCCTCCAAGACCCCAACGTGAAGGCTAGGTTTTCCTCCCCTCCGCTGAGATGAGGCATGTCCACAGGCCACCAGCCCAGGATTCCAGGGACGCCCCTGAACCTCAAGGTCCAAGGCGGGTCAGAGCGGGGGCGGCACTTGGGCTGGCTACTCCGAAATGTGAGTTTGGAAATAGACACATAAACCGAAGTTGACGAGGGCAGCTGACCTCTTGCAATCTTTGAGCAGCGGGACACGAAGTCTTGAGAAGGGCAGGGTCACCAGGGAGCCTTGGGGAACTGGACACACCCGGAATATGCAGTCACGTGGTTCCGAGGGGCCGCTGCTGCGCCGCCGGGTCTGGCATTAGGCTTCCGCTGGGAGTCAGAGGTGGGACCAGGCCGTCCCTCCACGACTGAGCAGCTGCTTGCAGGGTGGGAACCCTGGGGCTCTCAGAGGCACAGTCCCCACCTCTGGTCCGTCAGCACTCACACCTCCCTGAGCAGGGCCGCCAGGACAAGACTGTGTCCCTCCACCCCAGAACCCCTCTGTGACAGGGGCCTTGGTGGCTGAGATGTCTCCAGGAGTCCGGGCCTCCCCAAGACTTCCTGACCCTCCCAGGTCCGCTTTGTCCAGCTGTGCTGCCTCTCCTCTGGACTTTGCCCGGCCAGGGCCGCAATTCGGGGCAGTGCCTGGTCATTAATAAGCCACCAGGGACGTCTTCCGAGAACATGGGTATTTACAGAGGGGCAGGGGGTGCTGGACGGAAGGAAAGGGGGCACTGGCCTCTGGCGCTCAACTTTGACAGCGGTCCCCAATCCCCTCATCAGGCACTGGGGTAGGGAGACGACCCAGCCCTAACCGTCCTTTGCCCCGGGTCCGGAACTCAGGGAGCGGCGCCACGGGCCCCAGCCGCCCGCTCGCTCGGGAGAGGCCGGGAGTCCGCGGAACTCAGATCCGACCGCGGGGCCGCGGGAGAGGCTCAGTTCCCCCCCTTCGGCGGGCGACCACACCGCAAACGCCTAGAAGTCTATGACTTTGAGGCAGTTCCCCGCAGCGTGAAAGGTGCTCACACGCACGCGTCCGGACACCGACCGCAGCGCCAGCGGGGTCGCGGGGCCCCCTGACCCGCACCCGCCGGGGCGCACTCGCCAGCGCCCCCACCGCCCGGCGCCGCGTGACCGCCCCTCTTGCCCGGACCCCCCAGCCCAGCCGCCACACCCACGTCTCAGCCCCGCCCCGCGGTCAAACTCCGTGGGGTCCCTGCGGGAGGGCGGGCGAGCGCCGGCCCGTCGCCCCCACCCTGTGCAGCCCTCACCTTGCAAAGATTAGCTCAGGCAAACGGGGTTTGGAGAGAATTTGTTTTGGTCTTGTGTTTTTTTCTCACATTTTCCTATCAGACCACATCCCCGCCCCCCGCTCGCGGTCCCCCGCCCCCCGCACATATACCCTGCGCGCAGAAACACACACACAGACACACACACACAGACACACACACACACGCGGCGCGCACAGACACGCTCCCTCCCGCCGGCGCGCTCTACCCCTCGCCCGCCCGCCGCGCACGCAGCCGGCCCCGGCTCCCCGCGACCCGCGCCCCGCCGCCGCCGAGCGAAGCCGGGCTGGGCTCGGTGCTGCCCATGGAGAAAGTGCCCGGCGAGATGGAGATTGAGCGCAGGGAGCGGAGCGAGGAGCTGTCCGAGGCGGAGAGGAAGGCGGTGCAGGCTACGTGGGCCCGGCTCTATGCCAACTGCGAGGACGTGGGGGTGGCCATCCTGGTGAGGTAGGTGTCGCCCCAGCCCTGTGGGGCCCGGGGGAGGGAAACCGGCAGCGGCTCCCGGCAGGGGCGGGCTCGGCCCGGGTCCGAGCTCCGGCGCCACCTCCCCAGAGGCGATTGGGGTCGGGCGGGCGGGTGCCGGCAGCGTGGGGCGCCTTGGGTGGGCAAAGCTCTGATTGAGCCCCCGTTGGCCCTGGGCTCAGGGCTCCCCGGGAACTAGGGAGCGGATGCAGAAGGAGGGCACCCGGTCCCCCTCCTCTCCCCGGCTTCCCGGCCTCAGAACTCCGGGCGCAGCCAGTCTGCCCCCCTTGCCCGCGGCCCCCGCCTCCCAGCCCAGCTGCTGTAGACACACGCTCCACCAGTCCTAGAAGGGGAGCTTCAGTGGGGGCTCCCCATTTTAGAGAAGGGAGAACTGAGGCTCAGCCTGTGGGGAGGACAAAGAGGAGCAGAGCCCCCGATCCACTCGACCCCTCGGAAGAATTCAGAATCTCATGCAACAACAGAGCAAAGGGCAAGAAGACAGAGGTCAGAAGGGGCAGAGGCTGCCGTCCAGTCCCCCCCAGCCCCTTCCTGCCCCTAGGGAGTGGGCCAGCAGGGGGCTCCCAGGTGGGGCACAGGTGAGTGGAGAAGCTGAGTCCCCTAGGACACTGTCCCTGCTGAGTTCCGTGCAGGGAAGGGGAGAAGCTATGGGAGACAGGCCCCCACCCTGGACCCGTGACCTGGGGAGGAGGGGCCGTGTGTCTAGGGCTCAGGGGCCATTCAGGTACCACATGCCCAGGAGGGACCCCCCCACACACTCATACTGCTCTTCACCCACATACGCGCTGCTGCTCACACCATTCCTGTAGAGAAAGTGTCCCCAAGCCCCACAAGCTGGTCGCGGACCGCAGCTACAGACCTGTACTCACTTCCCACAAGTGCGGGTCCCTGGGGGCGCGGGCAGCTGGGAGGGCCCTGGGCCACATGCACCGGGGCAACCCGTCCTTGGCTGGGGGACGCGACCAAATCTAGAACAGAGCAGGGCAGTCTTACCACATGAAGACGGGGTGAAACCTCGCTCCGGAAAGGACAGCCGAGGTGCCCCCCTGGGCCCACCTCTGGCTCCTCTTGGTCCTCCAGTCTCCCCGCCTGCCTCCCCCAAACCTGGGGCCTCCCCAGCTCCACAGTGATGTGCCCTGATTCTGACGAAGAAACAGATTCTGGAGGAAAAAGAGCAAGAAGCACTCTTGAGGAGTTGGAGGAGGATTCCTGAGGAAGGGGCGGCTATTTTGGCAGCTCCTGGGGGTGACGGGGAAGCTGAGAGGGGATTCCAGACCTCTGAGACCATCAGACGTTTGGAGGTGCAGATCGCACAGGGGAGCACCCACACAGGCACGTGGGTGGGCAGAGGTGTCCCGGGCGCACAGACTGCCTCCAGGGAGGGCCGCCCTCCGCCTCGTGCAAGCACAGGGCCCACCAGGCCTCGGGATGCACCACGCACCCAGGGGCCCCTGAGAGGACATGAGACAGAGTCCCCGGGACAGACCTTGGAAATTCTTTGTGCCACCTCCTGCCATTTGCCAGTGAGAACACGTAGGGGACGGGTCCCAGATCCGGCTCCTGGGGTACCACCCGGCCTCCCCAGAAATGGGGACATGCAGCGGAGGGAACCAAACCCTGAGAACTGAGCTGTTTCTGAAGAGTCTGAGCCCTCGAAAAGGCTTCTTTCTGTCTCTGAACCCTTCCAGCGCCCCATTCCCGACTCTCAGAGAGGCCGGAGCTGGGCTGGGGGAGGTGCTCACCAAAGTGCCCGGTGCTCAGGGGAGGCCCTGGCCTGCTGTTGGCCCTGCCTCGCTCCACCAGAGCCCACCTCTGTGCTGACCAGCGCCCAGGCCACCCAGCTCAGCCCTGCCAGCCCCACTCCCACGGGCCTTCCGCTCTGTCTTTTCCTTCTGCTCTCTGCCCCAGGATCTGGCCAGTGTGTGTGTGGGGGGGGGGCAGTTGAAAGGGGTAAACGTAAGACTGATAAGCTTCTCAGGTGTCCCAAAGCACTCTCCCCAGATCCTGTGCCCCTCACTTTTGTCACAACCCCTCCTATCTTCCCACAAAAATCCACCAGGACAGGCCCCAGTGAGAGCCTGCGACACCAACCCTCTGTTTGTTGCTCTCACCCACCCTCCCCACTGGGCTGAGGCCAGAGGTGCCCCTGGACCCCACGGTGCACCCCAGGAGTTAGCAGCCACAGCACTGACGGCAGTGGAGGAGCCACCTGGGGGTCTGAGCCAGACCCCACACCTCCCCTGCCAGCTGGGGAGGAGACGGGGGCAGAGAGGGAACCGCCACACTCCGGGGAGGCAGCCCTCCCGGCGGGTGCCCTGCCGCCTTCCCCTCACACTCAGACCAGCCTCCTGTAGGCCCCTGGAAGGACGGCCGCCCCTGAGAGCAGGGCAAATCCTCAGAGCTGGCTGCTCCCAGCAGCACAGGCCTGGGTGGAGAGGCTGGGAGAAAAGACAGAGGGGCTGGGGAGCGAAGCCAGGACAAAGGAGCAGAGCCCGTGGCCCCTAGACTCCCTGGCTGTCATTCCTCAGGGCCATAATCTGGTGCTGGGTGTTGAGGCAGAAGACGAACCTGGGTCCCAGGCCACCCCCTGCTGCCACCACCACACTGCAGTGGGGAAAACTGTCGAAGCAGGGACTGCCAGGCCCCTTCCCGGCCCTACCTCGCTGGGCAGCCGTGGGCATCAGTTCCTAACCCAGACCGCGGGGATAAATCAGAGCCAAAGCTCAGGAGGGTGCTGCCAGGATTAATGAGATCAGATAGTAGATGCTCAATACACACTTCCCGGTAGCTTCCACTCAGTAAAATGGATGGAATAACTGCATAGTCGTGGTAATTAAGTGAAATAACAGGCAGAGATGCTTTGTGCATCGCAACCTCCAGGCACATAGAAGCCGTTATTTCTTCCCGAGGTGAAGCTCCGGAGCCGGAGGCCCTCGCGTGTGGGTCCCGTGGTCCCGTGTTACAAAGTTTCTCCAGAACACCTTCCCCGCACTTGCAGACCCCTAACCTCCCCTCCCCTCACCAGCAGGTCTGTAGTAGGGAGCAGGGAGGGACCCCCCTCCCACTTTTGCAGATGTGTCCTGGTCACTCCCCCACCGTCAGCAGCTTCCCCGGCCGGGATGACCTGGGCCAGCTGCCCTTCCTGCATCCGTTCCAGCTCTCAGGGCTGACACTTAACCTCTGGCCTGAGGGCTGGTGTGGCAAATTATCGGCCCGCCAGTCACAAAGGGGTCAAAGTGTGAAACGACCAGAAAACGCAGACCCAAGACATTATATGTTTTCTGAGGCTGCGGTTCTGTGTTATGTAAGTCCCAGCTGAGGTTGTGACATCCCTCCCGTGACGTCCAGCCCCGGTTTCCATGTCCTCCTACAGACCGCAGGGCCCTGGGCCAAGGTGATGGACCCCTGCATGTGGGAGACCCCGGCTCTGCCTGTGGGCTGTGGCACCCAGTAACAGGTGGCGGGGAACCCGCTCACGGCCTGGAGGAGAAAGCAGTGGTCCCGGGCCGGCCCGGAGCCTGGGGAGAGGGAAGCCTGGCATGGGAGGCGCTCCCTGTGTGGGCAGGGAGCTAGCAGGCCCGAGGACTTCTGCCCACGCTGAGTGGGGCTGCTGGGCGGCGGGGAGAAGGCTCCGGCCCAGGGAGTGGTGCACACGGTGGCAGAGGAGCAGGTGCAGACCTGTCCGTGGGCGGTCAGTCTGCGGGAAGGTGGCAGGTTAGGGACTCCTGACTTTGTCCGATAAACAGTGGGAAGCCGCCGGCTGTGTCGGAGCATGAAAATGAGGTGATGAGGGTGAGGGATGATTTGAGATAAACCAGACAGGTGAGGGGCTGAGGCCGGGGAGACCTGGGGTCTGCTCCAGGAAGGGCGTGGCCTGCCTGGGCGGCCAGACGTCCAGGCGAGAGGCAATCTCAGAACGGTGCCAGGCAGGTAAAATCAATCACTCTCTTTAATCACATCAGCCCGCAGTGAATATCGATCAGTATTCAGTTCAGGCTGAGGAGGGAGGAAAGTGACGGAGCTGGGAGGAGAAGGCCGGAGTCTCGTGTCTTCCCTCGTTGGCTTCGAGGCCTGAGCGCTGTCAGGGGCTTCACTCCGCAGAGAGTGCTCCAGCGAGGTCGCCCTGCAGGCCGGCCTGTGCCGAGTCCCCAGTGCCCACTCTGCTGAGGGCTCCACACACAGGTTCTCACTTCCTCCTCACCACACACACAAGACAGGAACCACGACACCCATTTCACAGATGAGCAAACGGAGGCTCGGCAAAGCACTTGCCTGAGGTCACACTGGCCAGTGACTGCAAACTTAAAAACTCTCACCCTCTCAACTGTGACCTGAGCAGGCCTTGAAGGGTGTGCAGGGTTTGGAAAGAAAGCAAGGAAGGTAGAAGCAAAGCTGCGAGCCCGAGCAAGTCTGGCTGACAGAAATGACCGGGGGAGATAAAGGGGCCGCACGTCAGCCAGCTGGGCCAGAGGAGGGCCTGTGTTTGAGGGACGGCTCACAGGGCAGTTAAAACAATGATTGGGGTGGGTCCCTCCATTCCTCCCCTCCCAGCCCGCAGCCCCCATGTCCGGGCCACTTCGCAGGGGAGGCCCAGGGTGGCCCTGCTTCAGCGCCCCCCCTTCTTCCCCTTCCAGGTTCTTTGTGAACTTCCCCTCAGCCAAGCAGTACTTCAGCCAGTTCAGGCACATGGAGGAGCCTCTGGAGATGGAGCGCAGCCCCCAGCTGCGGAAGCACGCCTGCCGGGTCATGGGGGCCCTCAACACCGTCGTGGAGAACCTGCACGACCCCGAGAAGGTGTCCTCCGTGCTCGCCCTGGTGGGCAAAGCCCACGCCCTCAAGCACAAGGTGGAGCCCGTGTACTTCAAGGTGTGTTGGCCCCCTCACCTGCCCTGCTTGCTCCAGGGACCCCCAGGTCCCACGAGCCACCTGCAGGCTCCCCCGCACCATGGGCTGTGAAAGAGAGGGGTGGCAGGGCACCAGGCGGGGTCTCGGGGCGTCTGGTTCCAAAGCTGCCGACAGTTGGGCCGTGAACAGCCGCCCACACCCGGGGAAGGGGGGTGGGAAGGGCTCCGGGGGCTGTGGGGGATGAGATGCAGGGCACCCAGGCGTTTACTTGCTTCCCCGCTTTGCCCCCAGATCCTCTCTGGGGTCATTCTGGAGGTGATCGCCGAGGAATTTGCCAACGACTTCCCGCCTGAGACACAGAGAGCCTGGGCCAAGCTGCGCGGCCTCCTCTACAGCCACGTGACCGCTGCCTACAAGGAAGTGGGCTGGGTACAGCAGGTCCCCAACGCCACCACGTGAGACGCGCCACCTCCCTGCCTCGTCCTCCCCTGTCCCCTGGTCTCCCACCTCTCCCGGGGCCCAGGGCTGACCACTGGGCAGGGGCGCTCCCAGGAGGCGGGGTCTGGGGACAGGCACATTCGGAAAAGGCCGCTCAAGCCCGGGCCCCTACTCCTGCCTGCGCCGAGCTGGGAGCCCCCACAAACCCCTCACCCCACCAGAGCAGGGGCTTTCTCAGCGCACCCGAGACAGTGGCTGAAGGTTCCCGGCAGGAAGGCTGGCTCGTGGAGCCCAGAGACTGTCAGGTGGCTGCAGCCACTTCCTCCCCAGGCACCAGTCACGTGGGGCTGTTTGCACGTAAGGCTGACCAGCACTGACTTCCACCTCTGGCTCGGCAAGGTTGGAGCCAAGAGAGTCACGAGGCCCGTGCACAGGCGCCTGCAGGGCCCGGCCGGGGGCCTGTGTGGGTGTCACTCTCCTACACACGCACCAGCCGGGTGTTTACTTCTGGCCTGGCCCTGGAGGCCAGGTTCTGGGTTCTGGGGTGAGGGCCCGGGAGGTGGCCCAACGAGGGTGGCCGGCCTCCGTGACTCCGGATGACGTGGAGCGCAGGGGAGGGCTGGCCCGAGACGCGGCGGCTGGGAACACTCCGGCCTCCCCGGGCCCCCAGGGGCGGCCGGCTCTGGGAGCCCCGTGCAGAGGCGGAGGCAGGAGCAGGAGCGGGAGTGGGAAGCAGGGGTCAGCCAGCAGCTTGGGACACGCACTGCAGAGCAACATTCCCAGCAGTTTCCCATGGAAAAGGCAGCGTCTGCCCCTGGGCTCCATCCGAGCTGGCCAGCGGGCCCCTGGACTTCTCGCTCACAGGCCTGTGGGTGGGCGCAGCCCCGCAGAGAAGGTCCCCCCGGGGCAGTGTTGGGAGGCCAGGCCTCCAACAGCCCATCCCTCCACGGACCACACTGGCCCCCGCCTTCTCCTGCCTCCTTCCCCCGCCCACATCACACCACCCAGGCGAGCGGACCCCTCCGAACTGCGGGCTGCAGCCAGGCAGCCCGTCCAGATGTGCACAGCTGGGGTGGGTGAGGGCCGGCAGAGCTTTACCTACCCAGGGAGGCAAGTGCAGGGAGGCACTGTACCTGCAGGGGCTGGCGGAGGGGCCATGGGGGTTGGTGGAGAGGGGGCGTGCCCTCCCAGGACTCTCCCCCACCAGGCAGGCTTTGCCACTAGAGATGAGTTTGTTTACATCAGGAGACAAGACTTCCTGCTTCTAGAGAAAAGGGCTTTCTTCCTGGGGCCTAGAGGGGCTGGAGAGAGAGCGAGAGAGAGAGCTGGCCACTACAAGCTCCAGTGAATGAGAAACACATGGACAGGGTTCCCGACACCAAGCCCTGGCCCGTCCCCTCTCTTGCCCCAGCTGGACCCCTGGGACTCAAATCTTACCAAACCCCAAGAATTAGGAAACCGCCAGAATATCCTCATCTGCCCAGTTCTCCTCGTAGACAGTGGGAATGGCTGTGGAGACAGGGGCTGGGCCCCGCTCCCAATGGGGCCGGGCCCCTCGCCTTTGGGCTACTCCCCCAGCTGTGAAGTTGTGGGGATTGGCCCCTCATCCCTATGCACACCCTCCCCCCACCTCTGGCCCCCAAGAAGGCATGTCTCCCTGGCCAGGACCTGCGGGCTCAGTGTCTGCCAAGACCCCGATGAGCTGGAGTGTGGGAGGGAGGGACAGGGCAGAGTTCTAGAAGGCTCCATCCAATTCCTCTTATCGGGGACCAGGCGTGGGCCAGACACCACTGTTTATTGAGCTGTCTCCACTCGAGGGCGTGCGTGCGAGTTTGTGGGTGCGGAGGTGGGGGGCGGGGTGGCGAGCACAGATGGGTGGTCCAACCGGCCCCGGGCGGTTGGGCAGGGCGCTCCCGTGTCCCCGTCTGTATCGGAGAGCCCACATTCCTGTGGGTCTTCGCGGTCTGTGACGTAAGTTCCCACAGCCGAGGGCTCTCGATCGCCCCGGCGCCCGGTGCGGCAGGCGCTCTTGCGGTAGAGGAAAGGGCCTGGGCTTCCAAGGGGCGGGCGGCCGACCTGCCCCGTCCTCCCAACGGAAGGGGCACGAGAACTCGGGTCTCCTTCCTGGGTTGCTTTCACCTGGGTCCCTCGGGGTCTCAGCAGCGTCCTACCCTGTGTCCCCTCCCCCCTCCCCTGGTCCCAGTCTGTGCCCTTGTGACCTGTTGCCTCCATCTCCTGTCTCTCGTCCACAGCCCGCCGGCCACGCCGCCCTCTTCGGGGCCGTAGGGTCCCTTCTGCCCTCCCCCCTCCCAGGCAGCACCTTGAGCAGAAGGCCCAGTTCTGAAGACCCTCCTTGACCCTCCATTTCTGGGTGCCAAGGAAGCTGGAGGAGCCCCTGACTCGTCTTCCTGGAAAGAGGCCTCTGCCTCGGCCACGGCCCGTCTGGAGCCGCCAGGAGGTGGCACTGGATGCTGACCCACTGGGTGGCGGGTGGCCTGTGGGGGTGGGGGGTCCCCTCCTCCTTGAAGAGCCAGGCCCACTCTTCTTAGCTTTTCTACTAACCGTTAGAGACCGAGCTGAGCAGCTGGCAGGAGGCGGGGCCAGGTCTGCGTGCCGCTGCGGCCGCAGGCGCCTGCCCTATTCCTATCTGCCGGCCAGCATGCGGGTCTCCTCATTGCCTCTCTAGACTATCACGCACACGTACCCACCATATACACAGATATATTCTATATACAACCTATATAAATATATACAGACCTATCTATAGCGAGTGTCCGTGGGGCCCAGAGGCACATGGGAAGCCTCCGTTCGGCCCATCTGCGTGTGGGGCGGGGGGATCCTGGTCATGCTTCTGGGCAGAGAGCTGAGTGTTCTGGGCAAGATGGGGGTGCCACATCCGCGCAGAGAGGATCTGGGCCTGTGGGCAGTGTGGCGGGGACCCAAGGGCCTGCATGGGCAGGGTGGGGGTGCCACAGCCCCTTCTCTGACCATCTCCCCGCATCCCTGCCCTCCACTTCTAGGAGAGGAGGGTTCGGTTCTCCCCACCTTCACGCTGCACTTGAGGATGTGTGTGGCTCCCTGCCTTGCTCCAAAACGGGCAAAGGGCAGGCAGAGGGGCCAGGAGTTCTGGACGGGACGGATGTGCTGGGGGAGGGGCCTTGGTAAAAAAACAAAACCCTCCAATGCCAGCCCCATCTGCTTCTGTCACTGAGACAGCCCCAGAGGGAGGAGGGATGGTGACGACGGGACCAGATGCCTCCATCTCAGCCTGGAGCTCTGGGGGCCCAGGGCCGCCCCCGCTGCCCTCCTGGCTGCCGGCTGGGTCTGAGGGGCGGGGGACAACTCCCGGTGTGTGCCCCTTGGTCACGTGTATCGTTCCCAAGGCTGTGTCGCTGCTGTGACTGTTGTGCCTGTGTCCCCTCCTGTCCCATCCTTGTGCAGCCGTCCGTGTAACTGCCTGCCCCCCTTTTGTAGCTCCTGACGTCTGTACGCGGACCCAGCTGTGCCATTAAACAGGCTCCTCTTCCTGCCGTCTGCCCCTCGCTCTGTCTCCGAGTCTTACTTCAGGGCTCAGGACTTCATCTCGGAAGCCCACCCCCCCCCCAAACTGTGTGTCAGCCTTGGCTGGTCGTGAACCTCTCCGAGTTGGGGGCCTGGCCTGTTTAACTGGGAGCACCAGGCAGGAGACTAGAAGCTGGACTTTTGGGGGGGCAGTTCAGGAATCTCGTCTGTGCTTGTTTTAAAAATCGGGGGGCTTCGATCTTTTGTTCTGGAAATCTCCTCCCTGATGAGGATGGGATAAGTCAGAGGGAATCCAGGGAAAGACACTCAGAAAGAAGGGCCTTGCTGTCCGGCTGTTCTGGCAAGGACATCTCTCGTAGAGCAGCGATGTGCAGGCCTGCTGCTCAAGTTTCCTGTGGCGGGTGGGCCCTTGGGTGTTGGAGGAAGGAAGTGTGCTCCTCATCTTAAATCCCAGCCCCTCCCCTGGGCTCTCAGCAACCAGACCCCCTTCCCAACCCCTCTCCTGGACCCCACGGTGTTGGGCTGGGCCTGCCCTGCCCCCATGCAGGATGGAGGCAATGGTCAGCAGCATCAACCCTCAGCGGAGGGACTAGGAGGTCACCACCCCTTGGGGGGGCTGCAGGCCCGGCAGGAAGCAGCCTCTGCCCCTTGGGAGGGCTGCCGGCTGCCTGGGAAGACTCTGCGGACACACAGGAAAAGGCTTGTCTCCCAGGCCGGGAACTCCCTGGGTGCAGTCTGTGCCTTCACCTCTGGGGCCTGGCACAGCAGAGGTATGCGACAGAAATGCAAAAGACAAATAAATAACACTCTTAGAAAGCAAAGTGGGCGCACGGGCCAAGAGTGAGCTGCGTGAGTTGAAACACCAGTGCAGGGGGAGAGGACAGTGTGGGCAAAGCCTTTCCTGGGAGGCCGTGCCACTCGGGGTCAGACTGCCTGCTGTTGCTGCGTGACCTTGGGCAGGTCACTCGGCCGGCTTGCTGAGCTGCAGTCACCTGTAATGGAAAGTGGGAGCAGCGAGCACGAGGCCAGCCTTGCAAGGCAGGTCACCTGCGCTGGGGACCTGGGGAGTGCTCAGCAGAGCGACTGACTGCCGGGCCACCAGAGGCGGCAGATGGAAAGAGGGGCAGGAAGGGCGTCCTGGGCCGAGATGAGCCAGGAGCGCTGACAGAGGAGGAAGGGAGGCCAGTGGACAGGGTGATGTCAGGGGGCAGAGGGCAAGGGAAGGGAAGCGGAAGCAACCCAGGAGCCCGGCCAGGTCCTGGGGGTGGGTGTGCGGAGACTGACGCGGAGCCAGATGGGGTGAGGGCTGGGCCTCGGGGACTGAAACAGAGGGGCATCAGCCTTCCGGGTGGGGGACAGTCTCTGAGAAGAAAGATCCCCTCCCCGGTTTTACTTCGGTTTACTTCAGAGTGGGGAAGGGCTTCTGAACCAGCCCAAACTGGGATCATTCTAGAATGTAGCCCTTGAAAAATGTTCTTCCCACTCCCCACCCTCTAGGGAGAGCACACTGGCCACTAATGATTCACCCCAGACCTGAGCGAGGTATGATGCTTGCAGGGAGGGGGCACCCCCGGTCCAGTGTTGGTGCTGGCCAGGGCCCAGGCATCCCCCAGTGGGCTGAGGGCTGAGGGCTGGGTGCTGGGGCTACAGCGTAGGTGCGCACTCTCTGCCTGGGGTTTTGTTTTGTGCTCTAAGAGCTGAGCAACTGGGTCAGCTCCCCCTGGCGTGCTCAGGCGGTGAGCGAGGGGGTGTCGGGAACGTGGGAGCGGAGTCTGCGCCTCCTTCCCAACCTGGCGGTCCCACAGCGCCCCCTGCCGGCTATGCTGAGGCCCTCACCCGGGAAGCTGCAGCCCATGCGGCAGGCGACCTGACCTCCCCGCTTTTCCTACCTCGGGGGTGAGGGGGACCCCTCTACCTCCCTCCTAGAGAGGAAGTAGTGCCATACCTGAGCCTGGGGCCGAAAGAAAAAATGTGAGCCCTATACATACTTATGAAAATTGGCCTCCTGTAATTTGAGCCAAGTGGAAAAATTTAATAAATGCTCTAGTAAAAAGAACAAAAAGTTCACGGATAAAACCCCACCAAGGCCAGGCTTCTGGCCTGCCTTTGTCAACACTTATGAACGGACTCAGCTGGGCCCACAACAGCCGCGGGAGCTCATTAAAACAAACAACAGCCTTTGTTGACAATCGTGATTCGTGAGTCCCACCGGGACAGAGTTGAGAGGTGACCTGCCAGCTCTACAAGCACGGCTGTGTGGCTGCGTGGGTGGTGGCAGTCGGGGCAGAGTGGCAGTGGGGGAGGGAAGAGGCCGGGACTCCGGGGTCAGCGGAGGCTTCGGGAGGCGGGATTTCTGGTGCACGGGGCCCGGGGGTGGCAGGGAGGACAGCTGGGGATGCCTGCGAGGGATTCGTTCCGTCTACTTTACTTGGCAGCCGGAGCAGCCCTGCGCTGTGGGGAAACAGCCAGGGAAGGGCAGGCTGGGGCAGGAGAATACCAAGAGTTCTTCCTTGTCCACGTGAAACGCACGGTGATGCCGTCAGAGCTGGGACTCAAACTTGGGGCTGGATGAGGTCGCTCAGCGGAGACTGTGTGGGAACAGAGGCGGGGCAGGCCAGAGTCCTGGAGCTCTGGACCCTGAGGTCAGGGGTAAAGGGAAGAGCCCGCAGAGGGGCAGGGGGTCAGGAGCTGGGACGAAACCCTGGAAGCTGCCAGGGGAGCATTTCCTGGAGGCCTGAGGGGACTTGGCGTGGGGGCGCCCTGGCTGACTGCCGCTCTGCGCGTTGTGCGTCCAGGGCGTGCCTGAGAAGCCGGTGGGGGGGGGGGGTGCGGGGGCCGACGGGGGTTGGCGTGCGGTGCGGGTGGGTTTACTAAGGGCAGGGAAGGGCCTGTGATTCATGAGATGTGTGCCATGAACTTGAAGTCAGAGCATCCAATGCCTGCCTGGGGTGACTTGTTGAAGACAAACTAGAGTTGGACAGTAGTTAGAGCGTAAGAGCCATTTTTACTGAGGACAGTGGTAACCGGGGAAAGGAGACGGAAGCGGGCTCAACGCGGACACAGCCTGCGCAGGGCGGGGGTGGGGTACTTACAGCGGAGGAGCTGCGGTGGGCGGTGGGTGGAAGGTTACTCCCCGGAAACACCAGGGGGCAGGGGGATTCTGCCTAAACCAACCTAACAAGATTCCTGCCGAAAGCGGGCCAGGGGTGAGTCAGCCATCGCCTTGGGGGGCAGATAAAGAACCCCGACGTGGGGCTACGGCTGGTGCGGCTCACTGGACTGAGAGTCCGCCTGCTAACTCAGGGCACACGCCTGTGTCTCGGGGCAGGTCCCCAGTAGGGGGCGCGCGAGAGGCAACCACACACTGACGTTTCTCTTCCTCTCTGCCTCCCTTCCCCTCTCTCTAAAAATAAATAAATAAAAACCTTAAAAGGAAAAACAAAAAGAACCGAAATGAGGATTCTAGCTAAACCAGCTAAAATTGGGCAGTGCACATGGACAGACACAGAAGTCCAAAAGTCAGGCCTCGTGGAGGTGATCTGGGGGAGCCCCGGCAGAATCTGACCCTTTGTCCCTGGGGGGGGGGGGGGGGGGGGGCGCCGGGAGCAGCACGTCCCTGGAGGAGGGGTCCTTAGTAACTGCAGGCCTGGCCCTGGGTCCTCCGTAGGGATGGGCCACATGGAAGGGAGGCACGCTCCCTACGGCTAGTGGGGAGGGGGCTGTGGGGGGGAGGGGGCATAGGTGGAGGCGAGGGCCTCCCAGGGCAGGTGGGCGAGTCCACAGGCGGAACATGCAGTACTGTTCATTGTCAAAAACAGTTTTGTGATGTAAAAAAAAAGTTGTTTTCATCTGCCTTTCATAACATTTAGGAGAGAAGTCACTTGTAATCCATCACCCTCGCCCAATCTTCCAGATGTCTTTTGTACACATTAAAAATTGTGTAACGCTTTACATTTTTATACGTGGCTTTAAAAATAGCATAGGGATTTTGTACCACTGCAAAAGCAATATATGGTCATTGCAGGCAATTTGGGGGAAAAAGAAAAACATAAAGAAAAAATAAAAATTCCCCATGCCTCTGCCGGACCAGTGCCTGCTGGAGCTGCCCATGCAGAGTCCGCCGCACAGGCAGGAAATGAAGGAGGCAGACGCCCGCGCCAGCCACAGCATTGCCAGGGGCCAGAGCATAGGGAGGTGCGGGCCCTGGTTTCAAAACCAGAGAAAGGGTGTCATCAAAGGCACCAAATACAAACCGCGAGAGTGGTTGGTGACACAGGCTGTGAGGGAATTCACAAAGAGAGAGTGCAGAGAGTAAAGGTTGCATTTTTACTTTCCCAAGGGAGGGAAAAGGCTGAGTGCGGTGATGTGAGTCTCACCGGCACCGGCCCTGAGCGGTTGGGGCTGTGAGTTTTTATGGGGTGATGGGCGATTGTAGAGCAGGAGGTTTACGTTCGGCTGCAGCTGGTTTTGATGCCGTCTTTGGGTGCAGGGTCTGGTGGTCGTTTGTGGGCTGGCATGTCCCGCTTCACTAGTTCCCGGAGCCTCTGGGCCTTCAGGGCGCTTCCAGTGATTTTCTAGCCCTGAGGATGAAGGCTCATAAAGCTGCTGGGGTCAGCCATGCTTTCTGGGCTCCAGCCGGCTCCTGGAAAGAGGGCCGGAGAAGGTGGCTTTTGTCCTATTACAAACCTTTTCCTTTCCTCTCCGGTCTCCTGTGAGTCCTCATGGTGTTTTTGTCTTTGCCATTCAATTTCATTCATTAATGTCATGGACTTTGAAACAGAATGTTAAATTATTAGCAGGAACTTCACTGTTTATGTTGGGCGGTGCAAGATTTTAAAGGCCAGTATGAAAACACTTAGCTCATCGGCAGAAGCATTGACCTCACACCCTGGGCGTCCCACAGCGTGGGCGGGCTGCGTTGACAGGCGTTCTGACTTCCCAGAACGGCCGGGTGCCGCTGCCAGCGACTCGGCCGTTCCTATTTCACTTTTTGATCAGGGTGTCAAACTCTTCACTGGAG